CATCATCCCAATATGAAAAGCACTATATAAATGTAAATCTGTATTGTAATTTATATTGTAAGAAGCTGGTGGAACAGGCTTAATGGTCAAAAATGGCCTCCTCCTGTTTTTTTATGTTCCCATATTACAAAAGCGAAGTTAAAATATCATGATTGTTACCTAAAGACTAAAACAACACTTTCTAACAGACATTATCTGTTTTTTACATTTGCTGGAAATTTGTTTCCATTTATTGAAATTCACTTTACCTTTGGGAATCCTATTAATTGGAGTAAATGTGAGTTTATGCTTCTGACTAAACTACATGTCCAACACACTGTTGAATCCTGCCGTTTGTGAGAGCCCCAGGAGAGGTTTCATTAGTGTGTTGATTGTTTTTACAAAATGAAATAAATGTTTCCTAGACTCTCAAAAGACAGTTTATTCCATATTAAAATAGAATTTGATGGATTGATGTCAGGCTCCATGCTGATGTAGACTAGCTATTCAACTTTATGCTTCTGTGGTTTACTATGCAATTAGTATTGTACCTATTAAAGGCACCAGAAAAAGATATCTCTAAAACAATAAATCTGAAAAATAAGTGGAAGTTATACAGGGTAGATTATAGGGCAGTTTATAGGTAAGGTATTGATGGAAGCAGACAATCTGCCCTTTACATGGAGGCATTCACTAACCTATTGTGAGAAAGAATATGATGAACAGCAAGACAAATAAGCGAAAAACGTAAGTTAATTTGTTGTAAAAAAAACTAAAGGTCATTGCCGCCCTCCTTTCCTTTCTTATGATGTTCACTCATCCCTCTGGTCAGAACAAAAGACAGGTTTGATTGAAAATGATCATTTGCCAGTGATAGTTACCACTTCATGCACAGGATTTTATTTTTCACACCAAGATCTCTTACAAAATTTCATTAATGCTTTTAAGTTTTCCCTATTTTCACTTGCGTAGGCGCGTGATACAATTGTCACACATGATGCAAGCAACCACGGGAAGTAATAAAATGACTTTTATGAGAACTGCCAGATGTCGACAGCTCGTCTTTTTTCCTTTATTTATTCCTTTCATTCATGCCGACAAGCAGATGGCAATTTCAAAGGTTGTTGCAACGTGCGGTTTGGAGATTTGTAAAGTTTATTTGAATTGGTGTTTTCAACCACGTGAAAAGAATCAGGAATGATCGATTTTGCATCCAGCGGTATTGAGACAGAAATCATTGCAAGGCTATGTTTCGTTATTGTGGGCATTTCGCTCACAAATATGCAATCAATTCATTTTACAGTATTTTCCGTGAAGCATTTGAGACATCTGGAAGACTTGAAAAGTGCTGTATCAAATGCAAGGATTATTATTATGTGTGTGAGTGAATGTGCAATGACACTGGTATCTTTTGCAATGTCAAAAGGAAAAAGTGGGGCTGTAATGAGCAAATGAGCCAGGCTGAATGAAATTTAATGCAAATGCTTGTGATTTTGCTTGTGAACCTTACATTTCACATGCACTTATCAGTACTAGGCATGTACTTTTGAATAACAGCTTGTGTTTATTTAGCACCCTTCTATAGAGTAATATCTTGGAGCATTTTGCAATGGTGGAGAGGAGGGGAAGGAGGTAGGTCGAAGAGGGAGGTTTTAATAAATAGACGGGGGCAAGATAGAGGAGTCGAGGAAGGGAGTGCTAGAGGTTAGGGGCATAGAATCAGAAAACCTGGCAACATAATTAAATAAGAGATTATAAATGCTCCTGAATCTCAGGGATATACTCTATGACTTTCTTTCATAGATAAATAATAATAATAATAGTAAAGTTATTGGGAGTAGATTGTTTATTTTAGCCCGGGGTGCATGGGGGGGGGAGGTGGGGGATGGGGGGAGTAATTCAGTAGAGAATAACTGCTTTGTTGCAACAAGGTCAGTACATATATGAGCATCGTCACTGTGGATAGTCCCCAACTGCTTAGAGAATGATTGAATTTGAACGTAAACTAGAGTTTCAACAAAGCGATTTAGATTTGTTAATTATCACTATTGATAAATTCCGTCCACAAATATACAGTCAATTCACTTTACAGTATAGTCTGTGAAGCGCTTTGAGACGTTTTGAAGACGTGAAAAGCGCTATATCAAATGCAAGGATTATAAATAAGCTTAACAAATCTATTCGATAAATAATACTCTGTTGCAATGGCTGAGCCCAAATTCCTGGCTGCAATTCAACCTGCCAGTCCAAAGGTTGTTATTCTGAAAAGAGAGCATGTGCTGTGGGAGTTGCCACAAGTTCATGTTATATCATATCCATATGCCCATGTGAGGACCACAAATACAGTGCAATGTATGATACATTTTGCATTCTACAGTGCCATTCATGCCATGAGGATGTCTCAAAGCGCTTTCCACAGCTGGCTGGGCACCCAAATAGGAGCTAAAGAGGAGGGGGGGGGGGGGGGGGGGGGGGGGGGGCAGTGGGGGGGGGGGGGGGGGGGGGGGGGGCGGGGGGGGGGGGGGGGGGGGGGGGGGGGGGGGGGAGGAAGAAAGATAACCAAAAGATGTCACATGCCCATGTTATGCCCCAGTTGTCACATGCCCATGTTATGACTACAGATGTATATGCTTTCATTCAGGCAGATGAGCAGATGGTGATTTTAAAGGTCAGTGCTTCACTTTGACTGCTAGTGCTAATTGCAGGAGTTTTTGTGGTGAAAGTTTTATATCTTTGCAAATCCAATTAAATAGAACATTTTGCTCCAAAAACCCTGCTCACTGACACAATTGTGTGTTCTGCTATTTAGAATCCCGGGAGAAGTGTCTCATAGGACTCTTTACTTGTCAACCATATCCATTAGAGGATTACTGCATATTCTGCTATCTATATAAAATTGCAGTCTTACAACCCAGATTTAGCAACTCCTGACCTGATGCCTAGGATAGTAGCTTTTCAAACATTCATTACTTTTCTAAACAAAACAGACCCCTTGCTTTTAATCCTGGGCATGGGGATAATTACATAGAGTTGCATCGAGTGAGATGGCATGGAAACAGGCCATTTGGCCCAACCAGTCCAGTTAATTTGTCCAGTACTCATACTCCACATGAGCCCCATCCATCCTATTCCCCTCATAATATCATGACATTTAATGTAATTAAATCTCATTTTGAATCGAATAAATTTGTGTGGCAACAGCCAAGCACATCTCTTTGGTGTCAGCGGTAAGAATCTTTGAGGTGATTTGGAAGGAGCTGTCAGATGGGAGTTTGTGATCCCATCTTCTGGATTCAAGGGATTTGGATGAAGCAGAGCTGTGCTTGCCCAATCCTACAGAAATGCTCTTTGTAACATCACTCTACTCCTGGAAGTGAAGTTGCTTGCCATTCTAGCACGTCTGAAATGCTGTACACTGTCCAGTGCCTTGGGCCTCCCAATGTGAAAGGCGCCATAATCTCGTTGTTGTTGTTGTTTCACATAAATATCACCCACAAAACACACACAATCACAGCACTTTACAGTATATCCTGTGAAGCTCTTTGAGACATCTCAACAACGTGATAAGGCAAGGATCATGATTTTCATGCTCCCATTCTGGTTTCCCTCCAATATCTTTACCTTCACCAAAGTAGTTTTAGATAGAGGAGACTTCATATAAGTCTTTTTGGGGCTCTTTTGCTCTTTCAATTTCAGGCTCTTTTGCAAATTCAAAGTTGAAGAGTATTAGTATTTTTGGACAAAACTGGAGCACACATTTCACACCGTAATTACAGCCTTACAGGGGATTTTTTTTACACAGTACTAATTAATATGCAAATGCTTTCAATTATGCACCACAGTACACTAGTTTACAGATGTTACGTGGGTTGCCTTTATGTTCATTTAGTGGAAGATTGTTTTGTGAAACAAAACAGGGACATTTCATTGCAATCCTGTCGCACCGTCTTTTTTAAGCCTTTGATAATACAGTTGTCAGACGTGCATCAAACAGCTTTTCACTGCTATAGTCTCTACAGTATTTTGGTGTAAGCAGCAGATAGCAAAATGGAAACAAGCCACTCTTGTGAGGGCAGCCCTCATATTGTGGCACTCTTTATTCTTCAGATTTTTGTGCACGTTTCTGCACACCTAAAAAGAAGCCAAAGATTCCACAGATTGTTTGACCAAAATCATCCCAGTTTTTCAGCAAATTATCACTGAAAGAACAGAAGAAAAAGGTGCATGTTGCAGTACAAATCAATGAAATGATCAACATAAGACTCGTATTTTATTTAGTGCCTTATCAGCCCCATAGTGCTTTGTACAATAGGACTTAACTCTCACTCATAACTAAAATTAACAATCTTTTCATCGCTTTTGTCTAATGCAAAATACTGCCATTGATTTATAAATGGAGTGAGAGGATATAGGTTACTCTCTCCCTCTATCAGTGCTACCGATTGTTACACTTGGCTTTCTGTAACTCTTTAAATTACTGTGTAAACACACCTCTCAAAATCAAACCTGAGTCTCCCATCATCTGTAAATGCACATTCATGTGGTCTAATAGTATGATCTTTGATAATTAATACAATGTAGCTATGATCCTTGTTTCCTCTGATCCTTTCAGCAACTGGCAAATATTATTTTAGTGACATAGAGCCAAAGGCAATTTGAATGAGAAACAGATTGATTGTAAGAGAAATAGAAGTCCAACACAAGAGCACAACGGTGGATTATAATACTAATAGAACAGCTGAATTAGAAAGTACTTTACAAGAGTGTTAGCCAAATAGGTTTGAAGAATTTATAACTTCTTTTTGTTGAGTTAAGTGGGTATTTATGCTAACCTGAACTCCAATGACACTGCAATCTACGAGACGACATTTGAGACCCACCTTTATAGTGGAGTTGGTGGGGGAAGGAAGGGGTGCTCACAACACACCAACCAGCTGATGTCTTGGGGGAGCGCGTTGTCGGAGGTGCAGTAGCTCGCATTGTTGATGACCCATATGTTTAACACGTTTGTCTTTCTGCAGTATATTGTACGCTGACATTGTGGGCTTCACACGCCTGGCCAGTGACTGTTCGCCTGGAGAGCTTGTGCACATGCTCAATGAGCTATTCGGCAAGTTTGATCAAATTGCAAAGGTAGGCAGTAAGTATGCAGGCAGGCAAGGCTCCCCCAGGAATATACATTCAAGATTATATACACTTTGCTTTTCAGTACTATCAAAGTAACTTTTGCCTTTGATTCATTTCAGGAAAATGACTGTATGAGAATCAAGATTTTAGGGGATTGCTACTACTGTGTGTCTGGTTTGCCAATCTCGCTGCCGAATCATGCCAAAAACTGTGTGAAAATGGGCTTGGACATGTGTGAAGCTATAAAGTAAGTTACTCTATACATCTGGCATTTTGAGCTGTACAAATGATTCACAACTGATTTTACTGGAATAATAATAATAATGCTTGCATTTGATATAGCTCCTTATCACGCTTTCGAGACATCTAAAAGTGCTTTATGGAATATACTGTAAAGTGAATTCACTGTATATTTTGTGGGCGAAACGTGGCAGTCAATAGTGCACAGCAGTGTCCCACAAACAGTCATAGCTTGAGTGATCAAATTATTATGCTCCTGTTGGACGTACAATTTAAATTAAAATTTCAAAGGTAAAACTGAACTAAACAATTTGCCAAATTCTAGACAAAGTCAGTCGTCAGTCACTGGTCTTGGGTTATCCTTCTGGGAGACCAAGAGATTCTGGACAGCTATTGTTTCCCCTCCAGGAACATCGAGACAGTTCTTTGAACAGAAATAACTAATAACCATAGTAAAGCAGCTTCCAAATCACATTGGATTTAAGATTTTTTAAAAATTCTGCATAATTCTAAATTTAAAAACAGTGGCTGAGACCTAAGCTAAGACTATGAGGAATTTGTGCCTTAGATACGGTATGATTCCACCGCAAACACAAACATGTGACAAAGATGTGGAGCGAGCATGTCTGGCAGGCAATAATAATAATGATCCTAACATGTGATATAGCACCGTTCGTGTCAGGAGAACAATCAAAGCACTTCACAGCGTGAAGTACAGTGACTGTGTATATTGTAGACAAACGTGCCTCTGGTTGGTGTTTCATGATTCACATTCCCTCCTGTGCTCTGCAAGTTCTCAACATTTGTCCAGGCTGATTATCTCCAAGAGAGAATGGACTGGATATAGGTACCTTCAGCAATATTATGCAATTTTTTAAAAAAGTTTCAGAAACGTTAAGTTGGCACAGGCACACAGGGCTTTGGAACTCTAACTGAGAGCTCCACAAAGTAGACAAATACAGTTTTTACCAATGCCACTAAGTTACTCAGCAAGCAGTGTCAATAACATCTTTTGTCATAGGCAAAGGTTATTTTTGTTAGCACAAGACTTCTCCTGGTCTGATGATTTATGAAATGTAATCCTATTGGTGTGAACAGATTGTAAACAATGATATAAATCAGAGCTGCTTAGTTTACAAGGCAGCACACAACAACAACTCATGAGAATTGAATGAACCTTTGGTAGTCCAGGGACTGCTTCCATGAGCAAAGCTTGGAATGGTCACATACAGGATGAAAAGCTATTAGGAAAGCTGCACTGTGGAGCTGTGAGAGTTGCACAGTGAGAGCAGCTCCAGGGAGGTTTAAGTGTGCAGCAGAACGAGAAAATAAACTGAAGAATAATGGGACTCTTTTGAGCCAATTGTGAGGGATGTTGAAAGAAAATACTTGTATCCCTGCTATGAAATTCAAAACCACTGTGGAAAGTCCAAAATTGTTTAACAAGTTCAAAATAATCTAAAAGTGATTCAGAAATATCTTAAAAGATTCAAGAAACCAACAAGTACAAATTGTAATTTCAATTTAACAAACAAATGCAAGAGCTAAAAGGATAATAATAATAATCTTTTGATGTTGCGGTATTCATGTTGGCCACAAGTCTCAAAGCCGCTTCACAAGATTTATTATAAAGTGTAGTGACTGTAGTTTTTGTAGGTGAACAATAGGACAGGTTGCAAATACTGTTGCAGGAATAAGAAACTTTTCCTTACATATTTAAGAGTTAATCCTTTTTTTTCTCCCTTTAGATTTCCTCAGACTAACTGTTGCATTTTTTTGTTTCCAAATATGCAACAGTTTTGCTCTTTAACATATCCTTGGAAGTATACAAGAGTTACATGAAGTGACTCAAAAACAGAACTTGGGTGTATACTCAATAGATTCCCTTATATTTGTTCACCTAAAAAAGCACACACTCACTTTACATTATATCCTGTGAAGCGCTTTGAGACTTCCTCCCAACGTGAAAGGCACAATATCAAATGTAAGGATTATTATTGTACAGTATTTTGCATATTGCCTACTCCAGGTTAGGCAGAAGAATGCTCTGCAGGAAAATGCAATAAGAAACCCACCTCGTATCATTCCTTGACACACTGAAATTCTGAGGGAGCCAAAGAACAATGCTTTCAGATATACCAAGGCAATACGACAAGAAGTTCAGAATTGCTAAGGGCAAAGGTTAGGTCAGATGCCACAAAGTATTTCTTTACGCAGGTAAAATGGGTACGAGGAAAGGTGGTATCGCCCACAACAGTGGACTAATTTAATAAAACAGCTTGATGCTAAGATGGGAAGATAGAAAGGTTAGTATTTGGGAAGGAAAGGATTGGAATGGAAAAACTATTCCATTGTGGTTTTCCCATTCCAGTAAATTATACTTTGCTCAGGGAAAAGCACCTTGGAATGTAAGGTGCATCTCCTGCAGGAAATGCTTCAGAGTGAATCACAAGACTGAACACTTGGATCTGTTCAGATCCATGATTACGAGGCATCATATTCCTGCAGTTTTGCCAATCCAGTAATTAGAACTTAATAGTTAGAAAAAAATCATGACAATTAGAAAAAGAACAGAACACAGAAATCGGGAACTGATCAAGTGATTAACAAAGCAGAAAAAACAAACACTGGGATTGTCCAGTGGATCAGTAAGGGTTCTGTACGAGAAAGATAATTTAACATTAAAGGCTTTGCTCTTCATCAGTTCTTCAAAACATTTCTGATGAACATTTTATATTCCCTAACATTAGCATGCCGATAGACCTGCTGTGAATTTTCAGCCTTTGTTTTCTTTGTTTCATGTTTCCAGCAATCACTGTCTTTTATGTTCACTGAATGATCAATGAATCCTGTTCATGTTTACCCGATCTTTAATCCAGTTAAACAGTTGTTGCTGCAATTTTATGCACTTTAACAGAAACAGAGCCCAGTGTTCTACAACTGTTGGTCTGTGCAAAGTATTTATTTACAGGTATCATTTTAATGAGCAAATGTTTCATTCAAGTGTGTGTTCTCTGTGGAGGAAGTGTATTGGCTGAAGATCAGCATAACCAGCATAAAGATCAGGTTAATTGGACTTTTCCATATTATTTGCATCCAAAAAATAAATCAAATGTGAGTGTGTTTGCACATCTGTTGATATGGTAAATATAATCTTTACCTGAATACAATATAATAATAATGGTAATTTTTGCATTTGGTGCATTGCCTTATCACATCATTGAAAGGATTTAACTCCATCTGCCCATCACACCAGTGAGATTCGACCGGCTCTTTGTCTCTAATCTCCAAACAGATCCATTTCAAGGTCCTCACTTTCACATTTAAATCCCTCCATGCTTTAACGCCTCACCTCATACCCCAGTCCTCTGCCCACCTCCTCCGTTCAGCTAACACAGACCTCCTGCATTTCCCCTGACCCCTCTGCTCCATAATTGGTGACTGAGACTTCAATCACTATGCTCCTAACTCCCTGCCTCTATTCCTCCACCTCAACCCTCTCTAATCTGTCTTTAAATATTAATAATAACAATAATCCTTGCATTTCATACATCACAAAGTGCTTTATAGAATACTGTAAAGTGAATTGACTATATTTTTTGTAGGCAAAACGTGGCAGCCAATTGCACCTACAAACAGTTGTGGCCAAGTGACCAATTTATTATTATTTTGAATAAATTATTACTCCCAGAAAAGCAGCCGCCAATCAGCTAACAATTGGTTTCCTACTTACTGCTTAGTAAGCAGACCCGTGTGGAGTAAGGAAACTTGCCCAACGTTTCGCCCTGCCCGGGAATAAAATCTGATATAAACCCGAGACATTATCTTACAGCAAGGGTGCTATATAAATGTACGTTGTTGTGTATTTGTAGGTAAATGTGATTGAGTGGAACATTCAATTCTGTATCATTGCAAACCACACACTGGGCTTCTGAGCAGCTGTTACATTTACATTAATTACAGTCGTTGGACCTTGGGGAGGGAAACTACGTTGTCGTGATGTAATTACACCAAATAAAATGTTGCCACCACATCAGGTGGAAATTTTGCTCTCTATGATTAGAAATGATTAAGTACAAGTAGAAGAAATGAATTGGCTGCTAACCAGCAGCCTAATGCAGAACTCCATGTGTTACACTCACAGGCAGGTCAGTCAATCAATAACTCGCCTACTGAAATAATATCTCTGCTCCTGCCATCATCAGATGGCAAAAGTGACAGCAACAGGGAAACATAACAGGACTAAACAGGACTGACAAAAAAACTGAAACCAATGTACTTGTGCCCAAGGTTATAAAATGACTAGATTCACAGTAAATTAATCATAAGTAGAGGTTGGAATCATAATCCGGGTTTAATTTATGTTTTCCTTCATGTAGAGTGTCAGCCTGGCCATTCTGGGACCATTCTCTGAAAGAGAAGGTTGTGGGTTCAAGCCTATATTGGGATTTTGAGTTCACATAGTCTAGGCCACGTTTCTCAAGTGCGGCATCATGGCCCATTGCAGACACCCTTTGTTTCACGTATCCAGCAATCACTACCCTTTATGTTCATTGAATGATCAATGAATCCTGTTTATGTTTACCCAGTCCTTAATCCAGTTAAGCAACAACTTCAACAACAACAACTTGCTTTTATAAAGCACCCTCACGTAGGGTAGTGTCCCAGAGCGTTAACAGTTGTTACTGCAATTATATGTACTTTAACAGAAACAGAGCCAATGTTGATTTTGTGTGGGCATAGGTGCCTCCTGCCTGAGGGGGAGAGGGGAGGAGAGTGTGTGTGTGTGTGTAGCGCAACAAATGCCGGTTCTTATAGTTTGAGTTGGAGCACACGATGAGCCTGCGGTGCGGAAGAGGTGACCCAGACTCAGCTCCCAGGAAGTGCCGTGAGGGCGGGAGCGAGTGCTGGTAGCCGCACACTGAGGTCACTAAAAAAATTTGTCTGAGAACCATTGTTCTAGGCCCCAGACTCTAGGGTGGCACCCAAATGCAGTGGTGGGGAAGGTGGTGGGTAAGGGGAGTGCCCAATTGTCAAAGCCATGTCCTTCAGATGAGACCTTAGACGGAGGTTCTATCTGTCTGTTCAGGTAGATGTTAAAGATTTCATGGCACTATTTGGAAAGAGAAGGGAGTTTCTCCCAGTGTCCTGGCCAACAATCCTCGCAGATGAAACAAAATTGTTTATTCATTTCATGGCTGTTTGTGGGTCATTGCTCTGCGCAAATTGGTTGCCATGTTCACCTACTCAGATACTCAGTCATTACACTTTACAGAAAACTGTGTTGGACTTTTAGATGTCTTGATGTAATAAGATGCTGTATGAAATCTAAAGGAACATTGTCATGCACAAGTGAAACTGGGATACAGAAGCTTTAAGAAATCGAAGAAACATCTTGAGTTTTGATATAGCTTTTGGTTAATTGTGTAGATCAAAATTACCGTATTCACTATCTTTCCTATTTTACGTAATTAGAACACAGTAAATGTGTGATATTGAATATAAGGGTAGAAAATACACATGGATAGGGTTTAAAACTGTCCAGATCTTGCCAAATTGTTGAATTTAATCTGAACTTTGAAGCAGGTTTTCTGTAGTTTTTAAAAGAACTCAGACAAACCAGCTTCAAAATAAAGATTCCCAAGTTCTGCACACTCTGTAATGCTACACCAAATGAGTATATCTAGACCCAGGTGGAATCTGTCCCCAGTAGTAGCTGCATCCTGCTAAGGATAGATCAGTACTGGTACAGGTATCGGAACAAATTAAGAATGCATTTTCTATCACTGCCCCCTGCTGAGCCAGCACGTTTCTTTCATATGTTTGTTGTTCAAACACTGCACAAATGATCAAGAAGCTCCATCATCAAAGTGGGGACTATCCTGCTATCTGACAGCTGGGTGTCTGACACATATGGAAACCCATCACTTTGCTTAAGAGTATCCAAGAGCATCCAAGCCACATGCATCCAGCCTACACATGGAAATTCCTGAGATGATTCATTGGAATGCTATGTACCCTCGCTCCCTGGAAGGACGCATCCTGCTTACCTAATTCTTAGAGCCAAGGTTTGGGGACCCCAGAGCATGCGTCTAAAACTAAAACTGCACAGCATGCTATCTGGCAAGCTATCCCACTGCTTGTCCACTGCTAAGACCACCCTACCTGTTAGGGCTTTGGTTTGCAGATTTAATGGGAGCTGAGTGGGAAGAGTCCCTGTTCCCAGTGACTGGTCTGCCCTTCCAAGTCCTGCCAATGAGCCAGGCTGGCGATGCTGTCTACAAATAAACATTCAATACATTTGGCATCAAATTCCTGTAAAGCAATTTGAGCCATTTCATTATTATAGATACTAAATGCATGTATATATGTGTGAAAAGCAAAATACATTTTTAAGCAATGTAGTCTAGAGAGATTTAATTTAAATTTGTGCTAATCACAGGCTGGATTTTATTTTGCTTAATAGTAATTCTGGAAATTTAGAACAAAATTCACAGCTAGTGAATCTCAAGCAGGCAAAGCATAAGGTAAACGAGCAGCACGAAAATTATTACCTAGGGTAAAATTTTTTCTCTCATCCTCATTTTGAACTAACTGTGACCCCACCAGTTCCACTCCACAATCAGCAGATGATATAGCTCTACCAAGATATTGGATATAACTTGGGAAGTGGTTGCTAGTGTTATAATGTGAGTCACACATGAATAAGTGCTTGATAAAAGCACTATCGGCTGTTGAAGTGCGATGCTTAAATCGACTCATTACTTCCCTAAACATTTGACATTCAAAAGCAATTTAGATATAGATGTGTAACAGACATTAGTTGACTGATGAATCCATTTCCAGGAAATACTGTCTATACAATATTTTGTTATGCAATGCGAGTTATCAGTGGAGTGAATAAATGGGCTTAAAGTGAGTACATGTTTTTGCATTAGATGTCTTATATTCGGTTATGGATTTACAATATCTATGCATTTTCCAGCAGTAACATAACATTATTTGAAGGATGACACTGCATTAAGTACCTCTTTTTTTGGCTTCTAAGAAAGAGGTAGCTCACACAGCAGATTTCTCTGTGATAGTCATTAGTACACCATATACAAAATGCTGTACGGATAGTGTTTCCTGTAAATGGTTTCATTAGTCAAGACTGATGGTTATAATATGTGTATATCTGAATTGCTTTTGAATAGTCAGTCAATGGGCTGCATTAGTGTAGTATTGTAAGGCAGTATAATAACTTAGTTATTTTAAGTTGGAAATTTTTGTCATTATTATGTCCCACTAGAAATTCCAGACAAGCCCTAGAGGACTAGAATTCTGCAATAAATAACTGGGATTTTTTTTATGTGTAAGCATAACAATAATTTCCATTGTATCTATTAAGAAACAAAGGCTATTTATACCAGAGCAACGCGTTCCATTGTAGAGCAAAATACATTGCTTCCCATTGTACAGCAAGAAAAAACATTTGTACCAGAGTAATGTTTGGGTCTCAAAATTGTAAAAAGTTTATTTGTGCTGTATTTCTATTTGTACTTTTTTAAAATCTAAAATCTGCAATGTACTGCATTTTCTGCATTGTACAGCCAAAACAACATTCATACCAAAGCAGTGCTTCTTATTATATAATCCTTACATTTGATATAACGCCTTTTCATGTCTTCGCGACGTCTCAAAGCGCTTCACAGAATATACTGTAAAGTGAATTGTTTGAATATTTTGTGGGCGAAATGCTGCAGCCAATTGCGCACAGCAGTGTCCCAGAAACAGTCGTGGATTGAGTGATCACATTTTTTTTCAAGGGATTATTAACCCCGGAAAAGCGATCCGGGTTTAATAATCGTTGTTGAGTAAAAGCTATGACAGCAGAGTAACACTTCCCATTGTAGAGTAAAAGTGAATAGCATCGCTCGTCCTTTACTTTTACAGGAAGGTAAGAGACGCCACAGGAGTTGACATTAACATGCGTGTAGGAGTCCATTCTGGAAATGTTCTTTGTGGAGTTATTGGACTGCAAAAGTGGCAATATGATGTCTGGTCACATGATGTTACTCTCGCAAATCATATGGAAGCTGGAGGTGTTCCTGGGTAAGTGGGCTTTTAAGTGCATCAGGTTCATCTATGTTCAAGGTAACTACTCACCCTGATGGATAATAAACCTCCCAAAGCAATATATACATACTCCTGCACTGCAATAAGGATCATTAACATTAAAATGCATTTTCTGTAAAACAATTTTATTTACCCATTTTTATATTTGGAGGATTATTTTTCTAAAAAAAATATAAAATTTACACTCTCAATTTAATGCCTTGAAACTTGATCAGAATTTTTTTGTTCAATACTCATTGATGCTTCTCTGAAAATTGTAAAAAGTATACTTTTGCTGTATTTCTGTTTTCACTTTTTTGAGTCTAAAATAGGGGAATGTTTCTCTCAGTATAATTGTACAGTGCAATACTGTTTTAAGCAAGTTTTCATAGTTGTGACAATTTTTCCTACAAAATGCACAGTTATGAAACTTTGTGATGTCTTTCCAACATGAAACATGCTAGAGCAAATGCAAGGATTGCTATTATTATTATAATGCAATTATGTTTTTGTTGCCCTCCTGTTTACTCTGTAATTTGTTTTTAAACATTCTGTATTCAGTGGAGTAAGACTCAACTTCTTTGTACAGCAAAATATTTTTAAGCCAAAATCTTGTTTCATGCAGCAGAATTTTTCACTGCCAAGATGTTCACCATATTGGATGTGCACTTCTCTCTGCTCAAATACCATTGCTCAATGGGAAGGAATGTGTGTCCGAGTGGTGGGCAGGAAGATTGTGGCAATGTTGTCATGCATTTCATGCTGGGCTGTGGTGCCCACCAGGAAGCTCATAGGGAGTTCCTGGAATCAGGACTCAGGACCTTACTGAGTTGAACTGACTCCAATAGAATATCAGAATCAAACCAACTTTCTGTGACAGCCAATTGCGCATAGCAGTGTCCCACATACAGTCGTGGATTGAGCGACCAAATTATAATTTTTTTCTTGAGGGATTATTATCAGGCGTGTGAAGGTTTCACCCTGCTAGGAATCGAACCCAGGTCTTTCGCTTGCGAGGCGAGTGCTCTAATCACTGAGCTATAGGACTCCACATGATCACAATCTGTTTTAACTTCATTAATGTTCACAGGATCTTTGATTATCTATTTATTACTAAGACAGCAGTCAAAGAAAGCCTCACATGCTGACAATGCTGTAATACAAACCCAAATTTACATTGCAAGAGGTGCTTCCAATTAATTGGCAGAAGATGAAAAAGGTTGAATATTTTCGCAGCAGACTCTCTAGTTCTGCCAAGATTATTGTCAAAAGTGTTTGCTATTTGAGTAAAGAATCTCCAAAGACTTTGCAGAACACAGATTTGCTTTTCAAAATCAAACATCCGTACAAATAGGATTGTATTAGGCGATAAAGATAAATTCCAAGAAGGAACAACAAATAATATATATTATAGGGCTACAATTTAAAGAGAGCAAAACATAAGCAGTTTACACAGTCATCCAGATTCTAAAGGTTTAATGATAGGGTTAAATGTCCACTAGTTATTAGCTTCCGATAAGATTTATTGTTCAAGAGTGGAACTTTTAATGTAACAAACAAAAATGAATTGAAAGTGCGAGAAGCCAGTATCAATTTACAAAGAACTAAAAGGAATTCAATGGCATAAGCAACATTTCATGAGAATGGTGTGGGAAAGTTTCAGAAAAGCTTTTAATATTCATAAAAATGTCTTGGAGGAGATAGAAGCAGTGATAAAATGAGATCCATCCTGATTGGGATGAAGTTTGAGAGATCAGTAATGTTAATCACTTTTACCTCTGGTTTTGGGAAACTGAGAAAAGAATAATCATGTCAGTGACAGAACAGAATGGTAAGTTTGATCACGTGGACTGTCTCTGCAATATTCCTTATTCCTGTATTTTCTTAGCTTTTGCATTAATTCATTCTACAGCTCACTGGGGTCTAACTTATAATATTCACAAACAGGATTGGAAACTCTAATTGCATCTTCAGTGAACCATCTAATCTGCGATATTTGTAAAACAGCTAATTGTGATTTGGAGAATGCCAGGAAACCGCTGAGCCAAACACCATTTGTTGGTCATCCTGTCCTACATTTCATTGCCAGGGTTTGGATTTAGTTAAGTGAGACAGAGATTTACTTAATAATGGGTTTTCAAACATTCTGCATTCAATGGAGTAAAGCTTAAGTAAAAGAAAATATCTGAAATCAGACAAATACTAAGCTTCCTGAAAAATAATACTTCATCTTTAAGAATTAAACAAGCTCTATGTTCCTCAAATGGCATCTCTTCAGAGAGCAATAACGTTGATCACTTTTACCTCTGGCTTTGGGAAACTGGGAAACCAGGCTACATGTTTTATGTTGAGTATCACCTCAATACTAATCGTGGGTTATCGTTTTACTATCTGTGGAGCTAAAAGGTTAGAGAGGGAAGGGAAAGAAAGATCACATGCACACATTTTTAGTTCTGAAATTTTAAGATAAGAGGTTGGGAGTATAGAGCTTGCAGCTACATATGTTCCCCCAGCTGTGCCTCAGACTCTGTTGGAACCTCTCAGGAGAGCCTAAAATAATGGATCTCTCTCAGAACATCCATTGTTGTTAGGCTTTCAAAGCCTCCACTATTGACTATATGAGAGCACTGGTGTGAACTGCACAGCTTGGCCTTTGGCTGCTTGACAACCTCATCATCACTTCATTCCCTGGCAATCAATACACGGTAATCCATACCTATTTCCAAAGACTATGTTAAAACCGTCTCTCAGCCATTCACCAAAACTTTGGTTTCTGATAATACAATTTATTGTAATTTGAATAAATACAAATATAGTGTCTTTCACGTCAGGCGGATGTCTCAAAGTGCTTGGCATCTGAGCTGGGGACAGGTGGGGGTTGATCCGAGGGAGATGGGGAGGGGAAAGATGACTGAAAGCGCAGTCAAGACTATACATTAAGCATATTTATCATTCTTAACTGTTTCTGACCTAATCACACTGTTGCAAGATCATATTTGTAACTTGCTGTCTTACTTTCTGATCATACCAGTCGTGTGCACATCAGTTCCGTCACAATGGAACATTTGAATGGAGCTTATAAAGTGGAAGAGGGTAATGGTCATATCAGAGATCCCTATCTGAAGGAGCACAACATCGGAACCCACTTAGTGATTAATCCAAAGGTATGTTATACTTGGATACATTCCACATTGTGCAATACAAAAAGAAAGTCAATGTGAAATTTTATATTTTGAAGTTTCCTTGTAATGTATCTGGTGAAGAATATGGCATTTCTCACCAGTGACGACAGTCCATTCCAGCTGTAGTTGCTCGGTAGTTTGGAACCTTTCGGGGAACAAAAGGACTCTCGTGTTAGCTTTAATGAACAAAACGGGGTAATTTTGTGTTATTTCTTAATTACGTATGGCACTACGACTCAAGTGAACTCGACTCTGAATGATTGAGTTGGCGTCACCGAATTCTGCATTTCTTAATTAAGGTTATCTTAGAAACACCACAGGTTTGATCCCATTGTGATTGTAGCTTTTATGAAAGTGCCCTTTGGGTCTCCCTCTTTTTTAAAAAAAACTAAATGACTTAGAAATACATCAAGGAGGATTTCCATTCCAGACATCCTCAATAGCCAGCAACCAAAATGTTTCTCAAAGACAGTTGGGAGTGAGAATATCTGCAATCTAAAACCCTGTCTGAGGATCAAAACAGTTCATTTATTTGCAAATTGTAGACGTTATATCAGGCTCTCAGGTCCTTTTGCTTAAAACTCTTTCCCCAGCATTGATCTGCTTAGTAGAACCAAACCCTGTGTTCACCTAGGGTCCAGGCCAAATAATCCACGTTTAGAAAACAGCCTGGAAGCTTCAGGAGCTCGCCTCCAGCTCACACAAACAACAAGGACAAGAGGACCAAGATTGCTTGCACTGGATGGGAGCCATCTGTTTTGAATCTTTTGGCTAAGATCAAGTGTAGAGCTCACTTGAACACTTGGTCACTAGGCTCAGGCTGGGCTTGCTCTGCCGGAGAGGTGATCCGGTCACCTGACTTACTCGGGTGGTTGTGAAGACAGGTATCAGGTCCGCATAATCCTTTGACAATTTGGGGCCCAGCAGAGTTTGGGGGGATTGGGGCTTTTCTACGTGGACAACCCTCATTCCCTAAGTGGAATGTATTTGGTCTAATTTGGTTAATTAGAGCCTAATCTCGCTCACCAAAAAATTAAAAATAAGTGTTCCTTACGGAAAGCTTCAAGCAAAACCGCAGATTTGATCTCAATATTTCTTTCTATGCTAGTTAATCCCCATGGCTTGGGGAGTTGAGGTTTGTGAAGTGAATTTTCAGTTCTTCAGCTCATTATTGGTCATCTTTAGAACAGCACCAACGTATTTGTTCAGGTTTGGTTTCTGTCAGTGTCAGTTCAAAAGCGACAGCGTTCTAAAGGCACAAAACTCTGCTCGCTGATAAATTATCTGGTAAAAATAGCAGCCACTGTTTGAGAGGAACTAATTGTGTTCGCAGCTCATATAGATCTGTCATCACTCGGTGATTTATTCTTAAACCAAGGTTTTTTTGCGTGAGAAAAAAAACATATACTGCAAGACTTAAAAAAAAATTCAAATGGGGAAGCTACCAGAAGAAACTTCTAGAAGATGTGCCGGGGAGCAGCCCCTGTAGCTCATTCCACCCACTATTTGAGGCCTTTAAGATTACAAGAGGATTCAATATAATGGAAATTGCTAGGCTGTTTTCTTTGTTATTGAATCCAAAACGAGGCAACATAAATATAAGGTTGCCAGTAACAGATCTAATAGGGAGTTTTGGAAGAACATTCTCATTTGCTTCTGACATTTAAGACCTCCTCAGAGCCTGAGATTTGCGAATTGGTAAGATGTGCCCAAGAATCCCTGCAAAACAACCGTGCAGCATTTATGCAAGTACTTTTTAATCCCCTTTTGTTTCTGTATTCTGATGTAAAATATTCTATTGAATTAATGGGTAAAAAGTTGGCCAGAAAACAGCCTCACCATCAATATATTTGTGGAGAGAAAATTGAGGAGGGGGAGGTTATGATAATTAGTATGTCATGTACCGCAAATGTATCACCACTGCCAAGTTTCAGCCCAAGTTGTTTTCTTAAATCTTTTGCGGGTGATTTGCAAGTATTGGGGAAGAACAGAAAGATTCAGACACAAAACGTGTGAAAGTTAATTCGTATTCTTTATAATGGTTCCCTGATTGAGACTTCTTTAAACAGGTGAGTGACATCCAAGAGAACACCCTGACTTTCTGTTTTAACGAACGAAAGTGAAATGAGTATGAGTAAATATGCTGGCTGTGAAATGTTTCAACCGCTTGAGCTCTGTGAAGCGCTGATTTCTCCCATTTCTCCCGTTTTCAGGCAGAGAGGCGTAGCCCGCTGCATCACTACAGACACAGGCATGCCGCGGATGGAGCCAAGATGAGGGCCTCTGTCCGCATGACCAGATACCTGGAGTCCTGGGGAGCAGCCAAACCCTTTGCCCACTTACACCATCGAGACAGCATGACAACGGAAAACGGCAAAATCAACACGGTTGTAAGCAAATGCTGATGTGGTGGATTTTTGGAGGAAGCTGTGTTTGTTTATTTTTGATTTGTTTTTGGAAATTCATCCAGAATTTTGGAAATTCTTCATTTCACTTTAAAATCGAAGTCATTCTCCTGCAGTAGCTAAGAAAAATTGTGGAAAACCAGCTTCTAAATTAAGACTAGTTTAAGAATTTTCCAAACTTCTGTCCAAGCATAAATTTTCAAGGCATTGGGTCCTAAGGCTAAGACCATGAGAAACTTTGAACACTGAAGCCTGATTTACATATACTGTAGTATTTTTTTCTCTATTATTTTATAGCAAAACACAATTTTAATTCTGCATACATTGTATTGATTTTGGATCATCTGTCTGGTGCTGGGCACTGCAGGGTGAATCAATGAGAATTGTAGTGCAGTGCTGAAGATCTGTGCAATCCTATTTGAAGTTCTGATAGATAATAATAATCCCTATGTTTGATATAGTGACTGTCACATTGGGAGGAGGTCTCAAAGTGCTTCACATGAACATGACATACTGTAAATTGTAGTGACTGCATAGTCTGTAGGCAAATACCTGCCTCGGTCAAGATCTATGTGAGTAATTCCTTATGGATTGCAGAGGATTGTTTCAGCGATTCACATCTTCTTGACCTAAAAGGTGCAATATAATTATGAATTGTTTGTTGTTGAGCTGCAGCTAATAAAAGGGTGGAGAAAAATACCCATTCACCTTGAAGCCCTGCTCAGATTGAGAGGGTCTCTATCCATAAGGAAAAGGAGCAGTGCCACGTGAAAAAAAGTTCAATTCAATCTATATCTCATTCTTGTTGGCCGTCTGTCCACAGTTCAAAACCATCGGCAATGCAGCATTAGATTGTTCGGTGAGAATCATAGCAAGTTAATTAGAGAAATAGAAATGTCACTCTCATATCGTAGGGCTATCCAAAACATAGGAGCCAGGCATATTATTATGAGAGAACAGAGAGAGCTTTATTTGAGTTAAACCTGAGCTGGGAGGGCTTGATGTTAGCACGCATGTATTCAATAATGAGTTAATTTAACAATAGGTTACTATTCTTAACCTGGATTTGTGCAGGTTCCATAAATATCAAATTATAAACAGTTGTGCATTATGCTGATCTGTGGGAAGTCTGGGATCTACAATCTATTTCGGGTCCGAATGCCATTCCCATGCTCAGGGCTACTGGCAAGTTCAATAGATTTAAATCCTGTGGAAATCCAGGTAGCAACTCCCACAATTCAGGCCCCAAAATATATACTGTGAAAGAGTTCCTCATTGGATACCCTGAGAATTGTTTTGATGAGCAAACTTAAAAGAAAGGACCAGACAATCACCAACCGACAATCACCATCCACGGCACAGGCCGTGCAATGCTCACAATGGAGCTGACAAAAGACTCACAGGAAAAAAATCAGCGTAAACGGACTGTGCACTACGGAATGTAAACTGTGTGCCATGTAGAGAACACCCCACATACATCAAGGGCGAAACCCTGGGCAAGTTTCCTTACTCCACACGCCTAATAATTATCCCTCCAAAAAAACCAAAAACAATAAGAAATTGGTCATTTTCAATCTACGACTGTTTGTGGGACATTGCTGTGCGCAATTGGCTGCCGCGTTCGCCCATAAATATACAGTCAATTCACTTTACAGTGTGTTCTGTGAAGCGCTTTGGGACATCCTCCTGACGTGAAAAGCGCTATATCAAATGCAAGGATTATTATTATTATTATTATCATCACAGCGACTCATGATAACTCTGCTCCACAGTGATAACTAATCCAAACAAGTTTTCATGGGTTTTGCACCTCAGGGAGTGGGATTCCCTACAGGACTCGTGCTTTATGTCAACGTGACGACATTCAAGCTCTTCTTGAGCACCTTGGGGGGGGTTCTCCTGACATGAAAGACGCTATACAAATATACCTTATTGTTCAGCACAACAAAGACTATACCAATCTTAATGCATGGTTAGATGAGGGGGGAGGAGGAGGGAAGGAGTTCCAAAACACTGACATAGACAATGGAAATGAATAGTTCAGAAATCACCCAAGAGTGACATTTAATAATAAAATGATAATCTTCGCATTTAACATTGCACCTTATCACCTCTTTCAGACGTCTCAAAGCGCTTCACAGAATACACGGTAAAGTGACTTGACTGTATGTTTTGTGGGCGAAATGCAGCAGCCAGTAGAGCCACAGCAATGTCCCACAAACCGTCGTAGATTGAGTGACAAAATTTTTTTTAAGGGATTATTAGCCCCAGAAAAGCAATCCGCCAATCTAACAACCAAGTTCCTACTTATTGCTAGGTAAACAGAGAAATGTGGAGTAAGAAAACTTGCCCAACATTTCGCCCTGCCGGGAATCGAACCTAGGTCTTCTTGCTTGCGAAGCGAGTGCTCTAACCACTAAGCTACAGGATATTTGACTTTAACACCCATCTCTTTGTTTGTCGAATAGATCCAAACCATCTTCTGCTAGCTGTGTGATAGTTTCAGCAGTGTGTAGCATCTTTAAGGCCCATCTCAAGACTTATCTCTTTGACTGCGTTTTCAGTCATCCCTTCCCCCATGGTTTCCTCCCCCAGCTCAAGTGCCCAACCAGTACTTTTAAACATTTTGAGACATCCTCCCCAAGATGAAAGGCACTATATAAATGTAAATTTGTATCACATTCATGAAATTGGTCAATTCACAGTGACTAGTAAACAAAAATGGTGTCATGCTGACTATTCTTCCAATCAATCTACATTATTCATTTTCTGTAAAATTACAGAGCAAATTACTGTTAGCTGGTGACTACCAGACCTCCCAGCTAAGATTAAATGGCAGTCTATACTCCCTCTTCACCAACTGCAATTTGTAATAATGTAGCTCAGTGGTTATGGAGTCCTGTAGCTCAGTGGTTAGAGCACTCGCTTTGCAAGCGAGAGACCTGAGTTCAATTCCAGGCAGGGCGAAACCTTGGGCAAGTTTCCTTACTCCACACGCCTAATAATAATCCCTCCNAAAAACCAAAAACAATAATAAATTGGTCATTTTCAATCTACGACTGTTTGTGGGACATTGCTGTGCGCAATTGGCTGCCGCGTTCGCCCACAAATATATATACAGTCAATTCACTTTACAGTGTGTTCTGTGAAGCGCTTTGGGACGTCCTCCTGACGTGAAAAGCGCTATATCAAATGCAAGGATTATTATTATTATTATATAGTCACGGTGACCTGAAACCAATGTTAATGATGAGTAACAGACATTACTTGAAGACTACAGCAATATTCACGTTACAGCATATTCTGAAGCACTTTGAGACGTCTAGAAGACGTGAAAAGCGCTATATCAAATGCAAGGAATATTATTATTAATATTGTATGTAAGCATTGCACACATATATTTCCATCACATTTCAGACATCTGATGTACCAGAGGAAATAATGGTGGAATTATTGTGCATTCCTGATGCAAAATGATAAGAAAATGAAGATTTTAGTAAAGTGGAAAGCAGTAGGAGGAAAAATGAATATGTTTCACCTTTATCATAACCATTTTAGAAATCCTGGAGGCTACATTTTCAGCTTGCTGCTTAAAACGGGTACTTATAGGCCTAATTGCCAGCAAATGGAGAGGTTGCACCAGCATAAGAGAACAAGGATGCTGTCTCGTACCTCTGCAGTAAGAATAGTGTAAGAGAGCTTGAGTTTGTGGGATGAGAGTGAATTCAAGCCAATTAGGAGAGGAGCAGGTCAACGCTAATAACAAAAGGGGATACTCACAAATGGATACAAAGAGCCTATTGAAACAAAACTAAATGAAAGCCGGTATGCCAACACCAAAGCTAATTTTAAAAAAATTAGTGCACTCCTGCTGGCTCTTTACATCAATGATGTAAAATGAAACATCAATCATGATCCAAGCTGATTCTTCCTTTTTTTCCCCTGTGTTTAAAACAAATGCAACTGGAGATGTAAAATGCATCTATATTTACGTATTCACTCTTGGGAAGATCGCAAGATTGGTTTGAATGGTCCTTCAGTCTATTTGATCTCATTCTTCCACAACACCCTTTCCATTCTTTCATCACAGCATCAAGCTTTTATTTTAATTAGAATTATTAGGAACAATTCATATATATATATATCATAAAGATGAATTACATTTAGTTCAAAAGGCAAAATACTGCAGATGCTGGAAATCCAAAGTAAAAACAAGTCGCTGGGAACACTCAGCAGGTCAGGCAGGATCTATGGAGAGAGGAATGTAAGGTAATGTTTCAGGTCGATGACCTTTCGTCATTACATTTAGTTCAAGATGAACTATGTTCAAATAAACAGAATTGAATTGAATATCCAGGCCACACACACCCTGTCAACACACTACATGGTTTAGTTCTGTGACAATCCTTAAAATGGAATATGCATTTGCAACATTTTATCGCTTAAAGAAATTGATTCATCCAGAAAGCAACTGAAAATAATCAGCAAACCAAATGGAAGACTACAGAAAAACAGCAAACTGTAACTTTACAAGGTCTGTGCAGACTAATAGCTTAATTTCAGCCACAGCAGGCTTCTGTCAAGCTGTTCCAGAGAGAGCTGAGACTTGGGTTTGCACTAATGGATCCCCACACAGCACAGTTATGACCAAAGAGGGAAACCTACATTTTCTTTAAAAAAGAGAGGGAAAAAAATATAGTGTTCTGTGGTGAATCCACAAACTGGATAGAAACAAATGAATAAACCAACAACAAACTAAACAAACAAAGAGAAACACAATGTTCTAGATCTTAATAGATGCTGAGTGAAGACATACAACCAAGGCTGAGAAACAGAACAAGGGGAATGCTTAAAGAAGCCATAAAATTACAATCAATTCACTTTACAGTACATTCTGTGCAGTGCTTTGAGACGTCTCGAAGACGTGATAAGGCACTATATCAAATGCAAGGATTATGATTGTTACATAAAATGAGCTTGTTTAATTATGTGCATCAAGCACCATGAAACAGGTTGTTTTCTTACTGTTTCTTACCTGGACAATGATCAAGTAATGTTCCACTTTTGCAGGATGTGCCCATGGTTCAGTACCATTTCCATCGACGCACAGAAAGGTTAGTACAGTATCAATCATTATCCTTCGCACTTATCTTCTAATATTGTCCCCATTAGTTTGAAAATAAAGCCTATGCCAGCTCTTATAGTGTACAGTATTTGTAGTAGTTGAAGTGTGCATGTATGAAGTGCATGTCAGCAAGCAACAACACAGGAGGATTTACCTGAGGTACCATGTGCCATTCTGGTCACCATATTTATGGAGAGATATTACTGGGTAAAATAACAATTTTTTCACAAAGAGATTTTGTGTTTTAAAGACATAACAAACAGATCTCTCATTTCAGTAATGCATATCCTATATTTTTTTGAACTGATTTCGGGTATGGGAAAAGATTTGGAAGTTGGGTTTGTTTTATTTGGAAAGGGGGTAACTTCCCAATTGACGTTTTCAAAATTCTGAAGGGAATCGACAAGGTTGATCCCAACAAACCATTCACTGAGTCAAAAGGTTTGAATACAAGGAGATTCAAGATGAAAACTAGGAAGTTAAAAATAAGACAAAATATTATCTAGAACTTTTTTGAAAGACTTGTGGAATAAGTTACTAGAAAAAATGCGAGCAGGATAATTGTTTTTGAGGCAACTGGATGTATTTCTGGCGAGAGATGAAATGATAGATATGGTGAGCAGGCAGCTAGTCAACCAGTGATGCGATTCTGGGGGATTATGCTCTTTCCTAAAGGTCCCACTGGGTAATGTGGTAAGACAACAATCCTCTTTCGCCTGGCACAATGCTCTTCCTACTGTGTGCGTTTGTGCATTAACAGATGGTCACTTTTACTGTTGCAGAACAAAGTCACAAAAAAGGAGATTTGAAGAGGAATTAAATGAAAGAATGATTCGAGCCATTGATGGAATTAATTCACAAAAGTAAGTCTGTTCGAAAAGAGTACCTCATTAACATTCAGCGGAGATATTAGGGGAACCAATAATTTAATAATAATAAATATTAATCTTTAATAATATTTGCATTTGGTATAGAGCCTGTCACATTAGGAGGACATAACAAGCGCTTCACAGGGTTTACTGTGAAGTGGAGAGAATGTGTATTTGTGAGAAAAAGTAGAAGCAACTTTTGTACACAACAATGTTCCACAAATAGCCATGACATGAATGATCAATCCTATTTGGGGGTTGTTGCCCAGGACACTGGGTGAAATTCTCTTCTCATTTCGAATAATACCATAAGATCGTTAATGTCCAGCCAAACAGGCAGACGGGACCTCAGTTTTAATGTCTCAACGGAAGATTGGCAACCCAGACAATGCAGCACACCCCAGTATTGCTTTGGTGTGTCACCATAAAACATGTGAGTTCAATCCCAGTGTGGGGCTTGACCCCCCAACCTTCTGACTCAGAGACAAAAGCGAGCCAGGTTGACACACAAGAAAGGTCTTAAGGCAGATTTTAAGGATGGGGAGAGAGAGCATGATACAACATGAAGGAAATATGAGACAACCAATGTGTTTTGAGGTTGGAAGGTTTTTCTTTCCTCAGGAGTGTTGTAAGGGTTTCCAGTTCATTGCTCCAACTGGCCATTGAATATCGAACAACGTAATTGCTTAAACAGGAACTGGATAACCACCTAAGAAGTTTTTAAAAAAATGGTGTTTGGGGAAAAGCTGGAAAGTGGGATAAATATAAAAAATGACTTAAAGAAAAGATAGCAGTGGTGCAGATACAATGGGCTGAATGACCATAGGTGTGCAATTAGCCATATCCATTAATTCCTCTTTGGTTTGTAAAACAAGTAAATGCAGTATGCTGCTGAGGTGTTAATGAATGTAGTGTGAATTCCACCTTCTGGAATTATCTCAGCAGCTGAGCCTCTCTGTGTGCTAAAAACTTCTATGTTTTTTATCACCTACAAATAAAAGGAACCACGTGTACCACTTATCATTTAATCATTCATTCAAGAATTCAATCTAGACAGAATCAGACAATAACAACAAAATTACATTTGTATAGCGTTTTCACGTCGGGACAACATCCCAAGGCACTGGGGAAGTCCCCAGAGTGCCTGATGATGTGGCTTGCTCTACAGTTTTCCAAACTATTCAACAGTATCATAGGCTGCTAGAGATTTCGTTTCACAAAAATTTGTATTTCAGAACAACAACAACAAAATTACATTTAAAGAGCACTTTTCACGTCGGGAGGACATCCCAAAGCGTTGAACAGTCAGGTGTCGGGGCCCGAACTTTGTACTACTCACTGAAATAGCCATTTAGATGAAATCTCTAAATAGATCATATCTCCCTTCCCTTGTTCAAGGCCCATCTCAAAATGTACTTCTTAGATCCCATTTTTCATCATTTTCCATTCCCCATCCCTTCGGCTTCCACCCCCAGCTCGGTTGCCCAGCCAGCAGTGTCAAGCACTTTGAGACATGAAAGGCATTACATGAAAGTAAATTGTATTGTAGCTATTTACCACAAAAAACTTCAATTAAAGATACCAAACACATTACAGAGAGAAGGGGGGATATAATTTCAAAGTCAATTGTCTACATTTAGTGGGTTGTACATAAACAACTTGCTCATTTAGGTATCTTTTAATCTTGGATCATTATTTTTCAGTTAAGCTTACCCATGCCATGCATTCTCTATCGTAGGTTAGTTCAGAAAAGAATTAAGACACTGTAGTGCTATATTTAAACCAGGTATGTAGAATGTGCTTTAGCAGAGTGAGGTATTCTGAGGATCATATATATAAGATGTGGTTAATAGACAAGGCAAGACTATGAAAGCATGAGACTAAACAGATCTCTTTCAGTGAGCAATCACATACACAATTGGCCAAATAATAACTTCCATGCTGTAAATTTGCATGGTTCTGTCTATTAATTATACTTTGTGTTATGTGGATCATTGATATAGCAAGTAGCTAAGCACAACACATTACTGTGTTTTAGATCAGGTATACATGATGTGGTGTATCACACTGATGTGCTGTATTTTAAATCAGGTATGTGGTTTAGCATATCGAGGTACTGTATTTAGATCGGGTATGTACAACAACAGTTTGAATTGCATTAATATAGCATTCTTACACTGGTAGTGTCTAAGAGTGTGGTTTGATACAGGATGTGTCATTAACAACAGTGTGGTTTGATATAGGATGTGTTTCAGCACACTGAGGTGCTGTATTTTAAATCAGTTTCGGTGTGTATTTTTGTGAGCAAGCCACAATTTTATAATAGTTTGAAACTGAAAAATGAACAATTTACAAAAAAATGTATTTATCTTTCAGACAATGGCTGAAATCTGATGATATTCAAAGAATTTCCCTCTTTTTTCATAATCAGGAATTAGAGAAAGAGGTAAGCTTCTTTCTTATCGTAGAACTATTGAAAAGCTTTGACCTTCAGTATTTTTAGAATATGGATTCATATAGTATGTGGGTAGTTTGGGACATATATATATGCATGCGACCACCAGGAATGTGGAAGGTGAACTAGATGGACCTTGGTCTTTTTTCGTCTAGCATTTCTTATGTTCTTATACTAAGATTCATAAAGTAACAACTGAAGTGAATGCTATACAGATTTGCCTCACTGTCAAATTCATAAATTCCTATTGCCTGTACCCTCCCTCCCTCCCTCCCATAAGATCACTAACTCTGAACAAAAGTATGTGTAAGTTCCTTATTAATAGAAAAACACATAACATAATATAGTTTTGTTTTAATCTTTGTTCTGGTTAACTTATTTTTAAAAGACTACTTATGGTGAGGTTCTGGGAATGAAACTATGTTTTGTTATTAAGTGTAATGACTGGAAAATCGTGTTATCAATGTACATCATCAAAGTCATCACATTAGTGGGAAGAGAAATCTTTCATCCTTTGAATTTAAGAAGGTTTCACTCTACTGGTACATTTTGTCAATCAATATGTTTTTGATCAGAGTGTTGGTGCGTTTGACAAATTGTGCCACTATAACAAAGACCATGTCCACATCCAAATAAGCAAGTGCCATGTTCACACAGTGAAACAGCACAGAACAGCACAGAGTGAAACAGCACAGAGTGAAACAGCACAGAGAGAAACAGCAACCCCATTTTATGTGGAGTCCTGTAGCTCAGTGGTTAGAGCACTCGCCTTGCAAGCGAGATACCTGGGTTCAATTCCAGGCAGGGCGAAACCTTGGGCAAGTTTCCTTACTCAACACGCCTAATAATAATCCCTCCAAAAACAAAACAATAATAAATTGGTCATTTTCAATCCATGCCTGTGTAGTGGGACACTGCTGTGCGCAATTGGCGGCTGTGTTTCATCCACAAATATACTGTCAATTCACTTTACAGTATATGCTGTGAAGCCCTTTGAGATGTCCAGAAGACATGAAAAGCGCTATATCAAATGCAAAGATTATTATTATTATTATCTTATAACATGTTTTACTCCAGAATTTCATTTGTGGAGAGTTGAAAGTGATTGATGTAAAGACTAAAAATAGAAAAATGTGAACTTACAGTAATACAGAACATAATATAATACAGTAATAAGCGCTCCGGGACGCTACCTCGCAAGAAGGGCGCTATATAAATGCAAGTAATTTTTTATTGTAAAACTGTTTCCACTGACGGTAGGTTGGGTAACCAGATTTAAGATAATTGACCAAAGAAGCAGAAGGGAGATGAGAAGAAAGTTTTTTATAAGAACATAAGAAATGCTAGATAATAATAATAATAATAATAATAATAATAATAAAAAAAAGACCAAGGTCCAACCAGTTCACCTTCCACCTTCCTGGCGGTCGCATGCACATATGTCCCAAACTACCCATGTACTATAGCCCATAATGTTATTTCCTAAAATAAAATTATCTAATCTGTGTTTGAAAGAATCAACACTTCCTGCTTCAACCGTCTCCCTTGGAGCCTATTCCACAGGTTCACTATTCGCTCACTGAAATAGTGTTCGCGTATTTTATAGTAATAATAATCCTTGTATTTGATGTAGTGCCTTATCACGTCTTTGAGATATCTCAAAGCGCTTCACAGAATATACACTAAAGTTAATTGACTGTGTATTTTGTAGGCAAAACGCAGCAAAAAAAATTTGAAGGGGTTATTATTCCTGGAAAAGTGATTAACTAACAACAAGGTTCTTACTTACTGCAAGGTAAACAGAGGCGTGTGGAGTAAGAAACCTTACCCAACAGTTCGTCCAGCACTGGAATCGAACCCAGGTCCTCTCGCTTGCGAGGCGAGTGCTCTACCACTAAGCTACAGGTCTTTTTAGGCAGCGAATTGTTAGGCTCTGGAATGATGACAGAAAAAGATTCAGTAATAACTTTCAAAAGGGAATTGTATATATACTTGAAAAGAAAAAAATTGCAAGGCTATGGGGAAAGAGTGGGGAAGTGGGACTAATTGGATACTCTTTTAAAGAGCTGGCCTCCTCCTGTGCTGTAGCATTCTGTAATTGTGGTGAAGAATGCAATTCGTATGTTTTACTGAATCTGTTCTGAAACATTTTTCACCTTGATGTTATGCAGTTTGGTTTTCTACATTAGACCATTAGTTGACTCATATTTATTATCAATTCTTGCAGTACAGAGGAACTACACTTCCTGCCTTCAAGTATTATGTCACCTGTGCTTGCCTCATATTCTTCTGCATCTTCATTGTCCAGATTCTGGTGTTGCCAAAGTAAGTATCTGTCCACATTTCACTCCTATAAATATAATCGTGTTCTTGAAACCCATTTTAGGATATTTTTCTATGCAATGGCTAGTATGTTTGTAAACACAGAATGCAACCTATGTTTGAATAAATATGTTATGTTCATTACATTTGGGCTTGACTCCGCCAACTCCCTGCTTATTGATCTTTCCAACTCTTCCGCCCTCAAGCTGCAGATCATTCAGAACTCTGCAGCTCATGTCCTCTCCCACACCAGGCTCCGTGACCCTATCATCCCCATCATTGCCCAACTCCACTGGCTCCCAATCTCCCAGAAGATAGAGTTCAAAATCCTTGTCTTCGCCTTCAAAGCCCTCCACCACCTTGCCTCCTCCTACCTCTGTAGCCTGCTAACTCCATATTAACCTGTCCACTCCCTCCACTCAGCAGGTTCTGGCCTACTCCACATCCCCCGCCCAGCACACCCCAGCATCGGTGATCAGGCCTTCAGCCTCTCTGCTCCCAACTTCTGGAACTCCATCCCAGTCCCTTTGTCTTGCTCCCTCCCTTGCCTTCTTCAAGGCACATCTCAAAACCCTCCTCTTTGACCGGGCCTTTGGTTACCCACACTTCCTGTCCTCCACCCTTCCCGATCCCAACCCCCAGCTAGGGTCCAAATCCCTGATTGTCCAGTGCCTTTGGACATCCACCCAATGTGAAAGATGCTATACAAATGTAATATGTTGTTTTTGTTGTGTATAATTTCTGTGCTTTGACTTTATCAAATCAGTATATTACAATCTACTTGATTTACCTTCCCCTGGAACTCCCCTGTAAAATTTTCATTTTGTTTAATAGAGTGAGTAGGATGTGTAATGCAGCTATGAGGGTCCCTTTGAAATGCAGCCTCTCCTTATATAGGAACGGGGAGGAGAGGATGAAAGACTCCACACTGCATGATGTGAATTGAAAGTAACAAGACTCTGATAGATTGCCAGAATGGGAAGGCAAGATCTGCTTCCTCATGCCTTTTAACTCCAACACTGTTAAAAAGAACATTTCACGTCAGTGTTTTTTTTTCAGATTAATTGCAATAACAATGCTCCTTTAACAATTGCATATTTAAAGGGCTGTGCCTTCCCTTTCCTGCAGTCTAGGAGGTTCCTGTATAAGAAAACAAAAAACAGAATTGCTTAAGATTCTCAGCAAGTCACTCAGTCTGCAGAAGAGGAAGATGGGTTGATAATTTGAACTCAGCCCATCATCAGGACTGCTTTGTTCTCGAAATGTCTTCTTCCTCTTTGGACATTGATGGTCTTCTTGTGGGTTCCTGCATTTCAGTTTTTGTTTCACATTTCCTGCAATGGATGTTTGTGTTTCATTTCCCCTGCTTCATGGGGACATCCTATGATTTGATCTCAGGGCTTGTGCCTGATTTTTGTGCTTTATGAGTTTTTTTTTAAATCAGTGTATTGCAGTCAACGTGGTTTATAGTGTATTGCGGTCTCCTGTATTGAGCAGCTGTGCAGGGCTGAACACTGATACATTATCAACAGTTTGGAGAGAGGGGCAGCTAATCAACACCTTTCACCCAACATATCTCCCTGTTAAATGATCACTATTTTAATAAAGTTAATGGAGTCAGCAGAAACTGTGATTTATATATTTATGACATATAAAATACATGTGATGGTCATTTCATACTTTTATATTTTGTTGCCTTGTTGTTCCACTCCACACTCGGATTGAGGCCTGGAAGGTACAAGGATAATCTCCTTCTAGACCTTCACCAATGCGTCTCTGAGATGGGCAATAGTTGAGAGTCGCGAAGATCAAATCTCCCACTGCCTCCCCTTTTTCTCAGCTCAGAACTTTCCCCTGATCAGAGTATCTAAGAACAAGAACTCAGCACAGATTGGGGTGCGGGAAGTGGGGAGACAATCAGGGTGCCTGCTGCAGTGTTTAGGCAAAGTCTGCCACCGCAACATGATTGCATTCGTAGTATGCTGTTCCTTTACTTGTACGAGGAATCAAACACCAGCCATTTGTCTAAAATGAAAATGTGTGGATTTGTTGTAGAACATCAATCTTTGGGATTTCATTTGGAGTTGCCTTCTTCACATTGGCCTTTATCCTCTTTATCTGTTTTGCCGGACAGCTTTTGGTGAGTATTCGTATCTTTCATTGAGGAGATATGCTGAGAATAAACCTGTTTTTTGTAAAATAATATATCAGACAGACAGGTATGTCATCCATCTGATTGATCACTTAGGTGACAATCTTTTTGATGTATAAATATGAGCTTATGGTGAAACAACCGACTGTGCAGACTGAAGCCTGATATGCTCTATGTTTTGGACTTAGGACTGTTTTGTCTTAAAATGCAAAATTGCATGGAATTTGAGAAAACGGTTTTAATTTCAGTCTCAAGTTGAAAGCTGATTTTTCATAGTGCCTACATAGAACTGTGGAGAGACTGAATTGAATCTGTTTTCCAAAATTTTCCACAATGTCAAATTTTTAGACAACTAGAGAGAAATTCACCTGGGTCTGGATTTACTCTCTTTATGTCACATTTCAGAGAGTCCTTAATTTGACAAATGTTTGAATTCAGTCTTAACTTTGAAGTCTGTTTTCTGTAGTTCTTACAAAATTAAGACCGTATTTAAGAATTTGCCAAATTCTGGTCGCTCTGAAATACAACAGAAATAATTTAAATTAGACCCTGCTGGAATTTCTTCCCAAGTACATGTTAAACCTAACATTAGGATTTTTAGCTCAAATTTATGAACGTAGACAAAAAATAATAATTTTTATAATTTTGCTGTGGTTAATGAAGGTCCACTGAAGTTGCTGAAATAATTACTGTGTATGGAATAACTATATCTAAAAAAATAATTTCAGTTGCTTTAGATACGTTGAAAGTGGCAGCCACTGAGAAACAAGTTTCTACCTAAAAATCATTGAACAGTGAAACCAAAGGGACACAGAAAGAAAAATTAAATACAGTTATTTTAAGTGTTATATCTTTTATACAAGCTTAGTCTTTCTTATACTGTTTTAGTCAACTTTAAGGTAACAAGTTAGTATTAAAACACTAAAAAATACAGTATTTGTAATTACCGGAACTGGAATGATGTTCTCTCCTCACTGTTTAAGTGGTAAAAGGCATCAGTTACTTTTGAAAGGGGATAATACATTTGAGTCATTTTTAATTAGAGTGGCAAAGCTGTTCAGGGCTTCTTAAAGTTATCATAACAATAGTATTTAAAGCTGGGGAGATAATTAATGATTCCTTGAATAACACTAGCTCGCTGCTTCTCCATGTTTACCAGCAATATTTCAACCCAGAAACATCAAGAGCATTTTTTAATTAAGGCTGTAGGGACTTAACTGTGATTAAAATAAACCGACAGTGTAACGGCATTGTTTGTTTCTTACATATACAGCAATGCAGCAAGAAGACCTCAGCATCCTTGCTTTGGATTTTGAAATCATCTGAAATAATTGCCAACAGGCCTGTGCCCCGCCTCACACTCACGGTGACTGCTACCACAGTAATATTGGTCATGGCAATGTTTAATATGGTGAGTACATTAGTGTGTAACTGAATCAAACAGAGTTCAGGGTCTGAGAATTTTACCTGATTTTAATCTTAAATCTAGTAACATAAAATTTCAGCAGATCATGTGGAATTCAGTAAGTAAGCAACTGGCTGCTGTAATGGGAGGACAGGAGGGCAGGTATTCTGGAAGGATAAAATGAGATGGGCTGAAGGGCCTTTTTCATCCAAATCAATCTTGTGATCTTGTGTGAAATTCTTAAAGTCAGTCTTAATTTTGAAGCCGTTTATCTTGTTTTTTTAGAACTACAGAAAAACAGTCCCTAAATCAAGACAGTATCTACATTATGTGAAATTCTAAGAAAATAGTCTAAGGGCTGAAAAGCTGGAACCCAGACTTCTATAGCTCTCCTCTTTTAGCGTTATTCAATCTACTGTATTTGTTTTCACTCCTTTTAAGTCATATTGCAGCCTACTCTAATTCCCATTTGACCCCATCACTCCCTCACTCCCACCCTCGCCCGACTCCACTGGCTCCCCATCCCCCAGAGGATCGAGTTTAAGATCCTCATCTTCACTTTCAAGGCCATCCATGGCCTTGCCCCCTCCTACCTCTCTGACCTACTGACTCCCTACCAACCTGCCCGCTCCCTCTGTTCAGCGGGCTCCAGTCTGCTCCATGTCTCCCACCCGAACCGCCTCTCTGCCCCCACACTCTGGAACTCCATCCCATGGTCCCTTCGCCTCACTTCCTCCCTTGCATCCCTCAAGGCCGGTCTCAAGATCCTTCTCTTCGATTGTGCCTTTGCTCGCCCTCCCACCTCTCTGCCTTCCCTCACCCCTGCACGAACCCTCTCCCATGCTCGGACACTGACACCTGACTGTTCAGCGCTTTGGGACGTCCTCCTGATGTGAAAGGCGCTCTATAAATGTAATTTTGTTGTTGTTGTTGTTGAAAGTGTGACCACCTGAAATGTTCTCACGGGTTCACTAATATCAATGTTAAGCCTGTCACTAGCTGGTTGTGGAAGAATGACACAGGATCTTGCACTCCAGTTTCTCGTTTCCAGGAGGAAACCATTCCCATTGACATGGTGGAGCTAGAATTGGGAGCTCGGTGTGAGCCAAATGGTTTGCCCAAACCCATATCGTAACTCATCACGCTGTGCCAATATTGCAGTGTATTCTAGGGTGCTGTGGCATCCATCCTATCCCTTTATTGAACAGTTATTATTGTGAAATTTCAAGAAAATATAAAATGTTAAATGTGGGAGTGTTTAACCTTTTATTCAAGAAAAACAAACTATAATTATTTTTACGCCAGGAAATGTTCTGAAGGAATTCTCGTGTAGTTTTCAGAGGCAATAACTAGCTAATAAGAACAAAGCAGAAAATAGTTGTAAGGAGAGATGGGTTGAAATGGAGGGGTGTAGATTATTGAGCGGGATTTGTGCTGAGATCCCTCTTATTCCAAGTATACATGAATGTATCCCACCTGTAGTTTGGGCCCAGCCAGCAGTGTCAAGTATTTGGGATGTCCTCCTGAACAAGAAAACCTTTATATATATATATATATAGATTGTATGTTCTGGATTTACAGGATATTCTCCTCTCCTCCCTTTAGTTTTAGCTTAATGGTTGAGCCTGAACATTTCAGTGCTCCAGTTCCTGTTTCAGATCGCAGAGAATAACGTTTCACTACAGCTACGAATAGCTCTAGCTTAACTCAGCTGGACTCCTTTAAAGCAGTGCTCAGACACTGACTCCAAGCTGAAGAAAATGAATTGAGCCCCCTGCTGTTAAATGGGAATCCAAGAGAGTGGCAATTTTTTTTGAAAACTGACATCAAACCAAACCATTGTGCTAGAGTCAGAAGGGGAAGGACTTACTTCCAAATTAATAGTCAGAGACGGGTTTGAACTAGTTGATCATTTTTCACTGACAATGATTTTACTACACTGAATGTGTCATTTTGCAACCCTCTTATAATCGGTAGCTGAGTGATAATTTACTAAATGCAAAGATCATTTGACACATAAAGTATCAGCAGTTAGCTTCCTTCTGTGTTTCTACGATTGTAAAAAAGCTTGATGCTGTAGGGGGTAAAAAGTACAATCGGTATTCTGAAAGGATGAGATTAAATAAGGTAAAAAGGCTTTCTTCAGACCAACCTCTCTTGTGAAAGTACAAACTGTGCAAAGTAAGATATTTCATGTCAAGTGATTTATTAGAAATTCACAGTCAAATATCAGTAAATTGTTTGTGCTGGTTAATTCTTTGCTATAGTTTTCTAAATGTTGCCCCTCAAAACAATGTGTGGATTTAATATGTATTTTTGAATGGTACAATGGGTGCAGTTGGAAAATGGGTTAGATTTTCAATTCTTATTCACTTAGTGGGTAATCTGACAAGCAACCATTTGGACCTAAAGTTCTGTGAGTCTATTTGTACACTTGTCAAGTTAGGAGAACCACAAAAGGTTCACAAGATTGATCGTGAGCACAAGTAGTTCAGATGAAAGAGGCCCATTTCATCTCATCTCAGTTTACCAGAATACCCACCACAGAATCCTCCCACCACAGCCTCATGGTGTTTTGAATGAGTCCAACATCCTTCCATTCCACCATTCCTGGTAACCTCTTACAGTTGTTAATTGCCCTCTGCATATATAAAAAACCCTGAGTGTCCTGATAGTGACTGTCCTTTCCCCCTCATATCCGCCCCACAACTGGCACCGCCTTCCATCACCTCCAGAATGTCGCCAGACTACGGCACTACCTCACCCCTCACGCTGTTGAAACTCTGGTCCACGCCTTTATCACCTCAAGGCTGGACTATGGGAACTCTCTCCTCGCCGGCCTTCCCGGCACCTCCCTCCACAAGCTGCAGGTCATTCAGAACTCTGCAGCTCGTGTACTGTCCCGCACCAGACTTCGGGACCACATCACTCCCACCCTCGCTCGCCTCCACTGGCTCCCCATCCCCCAGAGGATCGAATTCAAGATCCTCACCCTCACCTACAAGGCCATTCATGGCCTTGCTCCCTCCTACCTCTCCGACCTACTATCCCCCTACCTACCTGCCCGTACCCTCCGTTCCTCTGGCTCCGGTCTGCTCCACATCCCCCGCCCCAACCGCCCTACCATCGGTGGCCGGGCCTTTAGCCTCTCAGCCCCGAGGCTCTGGAACTCTATCCCCCAATGCCTTTGCCTTGCTTCCTCCCTTTCCTCCTTCAAGGCCGGTCTCAAGACCTTTCTCTTTGACCGTGCCTTCAGCTCCCCTCTCAACTCTCTACCCCCTCCTCGCTCCCTCCCTTCCCTCCCCTCACCCTGACCATTTCCCCCACTGCTCGGGTCCTGACCCAACTGTACAGCGCCTTGGGACGTCCTCCCGACGTGAAAGGCGCTCAATAAATGGAATCTTGTTGTTGTTGTTGTTTTGCAACCCTTTGACCTCTTATTCTGCTGTCTCAGTGTATCCTAAAGCAATTATCTGAGTTTGCTTGCTCAATTTAAAATCTTAAATATCTTTGTATGGTCCCTTCAGAGATATCTATTTTCCAATATTGAAGTGCCCTAGTTTGCCTATTCGATTCTTGTATAGCTCGTTCCCTTAACACTTAATAAGTACCGGAGCAATGCACAGTTTAGCCATCAGTACCCATAAGGATCAAACCAGAGATCAAACTCTTTGATTAATGCTCCATGTGCAGTAAAGTTTAGTATATCACAGACATGTCCTAGACATGCATAAAGCTTTGCTCCCTTTGTGTCTGTCTTGTTGTTGGCTACAGTGATTTGTTGATCACAAAGGGAGTGATCAGCTACTTTGATAAAGAAAATGACTTAGAGAGACAAGAATTAAATCACCGATGCTTTCAAAACTGGTGAAAGCAAGTTTGTCACACTGCAAACACTGTATTGCAGAAAACTCACATTGAAATTGAACGGATTTTATTATTGAAAGTAAAAATGAATGATGTCCTTGAAAGTACAGGATACAATAAAGAGAATTAAAGGCAGTTTCCTGGATTTTAGAGCATTGACTCTTCCCTTGTATGTCCAAATGGATTTATTTCTTACCGATCACCTCAATGAGCTCAACTTTCAAAATTAGAGCATTTAATTAGCAAAGTAAAAGCTATTTATAAGTTAGTGAATAATTCAATTGGGGGAATCTCAATAATGCAATAATCATTCATGACTGTTTGTGGGACACTACTGCGTTTAAATTGGCTGCTATATTTGCCTTCACATGCAAAGTCACTACACTTCTCAGCAAAATCCTGTGAGGTGCGTTGAGATGCTTCAACGATGTAATAAGCTGCTCTACAAAACGAATATTATCATATCAAATACAAGGGTTACTATTACCTCAGCAACCTGGATTTCACTCTGTCCCTGACTGAGGATGGAGTCTCGATACCAATCGAAATACTGAGGCAATCTCATTCAAAAGCATGAAAATAGAAATGTCACCGTTGGTGTAGCAAAGAGGTTGGGGTTAAATCTTGTTTGGGGAGAAATTCATGTACCATTTAGTCTTAGATAGCCCGAAATCTGGCATATTCTTAAATACAACCATAATTTTGAAGCCATTTTTTCTGTAGGTTTCACTTAAGAATGATATTAAACCAACATGGAAGTTAAGGCTGAATACAACGATTTGCCAAATTTCTCCCAGTGAACTGTTCCCAGTGACCAGTTTGACCCACCAGCTAGGCTAGCTTGTCTGTCAACAACAGTACTCGAAGTACAGTGGACACACCTGGCTCAGGAATTGGACTAACCTAGACCTCCATCGAGGATTGGTTCTGATATTCATTTGCCAAGTTGTTCAGATGGATCCAACCAGAATCTATGAGTACAATGCAAAAAAATACATTTATATTTATATAGCCTTTCACCCAGGAGGCCATCTGAAATCATCTCACAGTACTGGATGGGCAGCTGATCTGAGGGTGGGATCCGAGGGGGCTGGAGGCCGAGTGGGGCAGGGAGGGGAAAAATGACTGAAAACATAGTTGAAGATGTACCTTGAAAGAAATTTGCCTTGAAAGAAGGGAGGCAGGGACTGAGCAAGATTATGATTGCAACAACACACCATCAGTAGGATAAAGCTAAGCTGTCTCACGATGGTCTAAACCCAATTACATTCCCTACTACTACTAATAATAATAATCCTTGCATTTGATATAGCGCTTTTTCACGTCGGGAGGACGTCCCAAAGCACTTCACAGAATATACTGTAAAGTGAATTGACTGTATATATTTGTGGGTGAACGCGGCAGCCAATTGCACACAGCAATGTCCCACAAACAGTCGTAGATTGAAAATGACCAATTTATTATTGTTTTTTTTGGTTTTGGAGGGATTATTATTAGGCGTGTGGAGTAAGGAAACTTGCCCAAGGTTTCGCCCTGCCTGGAATTGAACTCAGGTCTCTCGCTTGCAAAGCGAGTGCTCTAACTACTGAGTTACAGGACTCCATCATTAGTGAGTGAGAGAATAATCCAAAGCTTGGTGAATTCTGCTTCACATTGATAGGAAGAGCAGACATCAAAGGACAAAAAAATATGTCACTATGAACACTTGGCCGTCACAAGCAGTTATCCCTGTGGTAACTTTTCTGACACCTGCTTAAAACTCAGAAACCCAGAGGATTGGGAGGCCCCGCTTTCACGGTCTGTATTAATACAGAAAATTATATTCAAGCGAAAATTATATTTTTGCCCTTCTGCTCAATGGGAGGTTTCTGTCCTCCCTGAGCTCACCTCCAGGATGGAATTGCAGAGAGAGGAGGCAAAATGGCTAAAAGTCCACCCGCTGATGGGACATGAATCAGGCCAGCATTCACTGAGCAATGGGAAAGGCGGGGACAGTGTAATGGGAGGAGGTCACAAAGTACTCACCTTTCATACACAGACGTGACTAACATGTATTGTTTCCATTATAGGCTGAGCTAACAAACAAAGGGATAAAAAATTCTGATGTGTGATCAGAATTTTTACTATAATTAACACTTATAGTGCTAATTAGCACATCCATAGAATGTACTATCAATAATAATAATCCTTGATATAATGCCTTTTATGTCAAGAGGACATTGTAAATCACTTACTATAAAGTTTGGTGACTAATTTATAGGTGAATTTAATGATCTTATGTCCTCCGGTATTCTTTTCAACAGTCACACGTGGAGACTGTTTTAAACGGTCGATGATTACACATTGTAATGTGGTGTACTGGAGGCACTTCCCCCTGCACTTTTCTTAATGGTTGCACTCAAAAGCCGTCTGATCCAAACATTCAGGTTTAACTAAACAATAAAATCAAGTAAAAACAATATCCTTCTAACTGGTGATTTAACACTGGGATCTTCAGCCATTGTCCATTTGAGTCACATCCACGTGACTCACAATGGACAATGTCTCCTCGTGAGACCATTGAACAGAATACTGTGGGACATCCATCACAATGGACCAATACCTAGAAACTGGGTATTGGTCCATTGTGTAAAGATATTGCACTGTATATCATAATTTTCATCCTAGAATGTATTGGACCCCATTATGTTTAATATTACTGGCAGTTTTACAACTTGGAACTTCACCTCATTTGGACCTGCTGTCAATACAAGTCTAAAACCATCACTTTCTCTAACATCTGGTAACAACCAGAGAACGAGAGAAAAAGAGAGAAAGGAAGAGCTTCCTTTACATTGAGTTTCAGGGTGAAAAGAGGGAGAATTTCAAAACTCTGGACTAATTATGATAGTTAGACTCCTCTGCTACCAGTTCCTAATGAAATTGATATCATACAAGCCATCCAGAACTGGTATCAACCCCGCAGTTCTTTTGCCTTCTCTTTTCAAATAGTATCATGAGATCTTCAACATCAATCTGAACAGGCAGACAGGAACTTGTTTTAATGTCTCATCCAAAGGACAGCATTTCTGGCATTGCAACATTCCCCCAATACTGTACTGACGTATCCGACACTTATTGTGCTTGGTTCTGAAATGGAAGTTAAATTTGTGTCATTTCAGATCCATGGCCGAAAATTCCAGCCATGCATTTGTAGAGTTAATGACGGAATTTGGAAAGTAGAGTTCCGTGACCCATACTAAAATCCTAGCAATGTTCTGCAGGGCTTTTTTCAAGCAATTCAAAATACAATGTGAAAACCTTAATTAACCATCATGAATGGATAAATTGCAGACTTGCATTACTTTACTCCGTAAATTCTGTCATTTTAGACTGCTTTAAGACCATCATTCATTTATGGCTGTTACCTGCTAGCACAAGCATTCATAGAAGAAATTAAGATGGTGGTTTGGAAAGCAAGCCTAATGGGGTATAAGTTAACTAAAACATTCTTTACTTTCAGCTATTTCTGCTTTCAGCCATGAATTTCTCTATAATGTTCAGCTCCTTAACTAGGCAGTCATAGAACCTTTTACCCCCTTCCCGGCACTTCTCTCCCCCCCCCCCCCCCACCCCGGTAAACTGGCATTAACAATTTTTCTATCAATGTTATAATTATCACATTTTTTATGAGATATCACACATTTACACCTAGTGTTTCTTAATGTATATCAGCACGTTTAATGTTTTAGAAAATGCATATTTCCTATTAAGAAACCTTTTATGACTTACCCCAAATTAGACCTTTACTATTCCAAATAAAGGTTTGTACCTTAACCATTAACAGTTGATTGCTTTTCCTGCCATTTCCCCCCTACAGTTTTTTTTGAAGAATTCAGTGGTTCCTTCCGTCTACAGCAACAATACAAATTCCAGCTTATCATTTACAAATGGTCAGGCCCAGTTCAAGCGTAATGACCACTTCTTCCTGCCTGTAAGTATGATTGAACTTAACATCACTTTGCTTCATAAATTAGGATAAAATTTGTGGAACGCTCAATAATTGCCACCTACTAAATAGTCTTGTGACTTACTGGTGATTGTTAGTTGGAGAGGTGGCAAGGCAAATGCTTTTCACTGCACAAACTGCTGTCAGCCCTCTTTTAGCAAACTCTAACCTGTTATTTATTATTTACTTTCTGTTATTAAGGTTTAGCATGTCCTCCTGACATGAAAGGTACAATATAAATATAAATTTGTATTGTATTATTTATGAGGCTATTCGAATAAATAATTCACACAGCAACAATTTACATTTATATGGTGCTTTTCACATCGGGAAGGCATTTCCAAGAACTTCACACAAGCTGACTTGTGCAAAATTAATTAAAATCGTTCTCTGGTGGCTTTCACAATTTTTGCCCTTTCTCCTTGCACACATATATCTCCTTTTACAGTATTTTGATATATTAAATTCCACATGCAACACAGGAACATTTTAATTACAGTCTCGCAGCACAAATTTAAACCCACATTAGAACCGATGTAACTCCAGTCTAAGGAAATACCTGCTTTTATCTTACTTTACAGGATCATTAGGGGGTTTCTCTGAAGGTTAGTAAATTCATGGACCCTGGTGAGTTTATAATGGGAGAATCCTATTTCAAGTTCACACTGTCACATTTTAAATGTATGACAGTCCTCCTGGTGGGGAGGTAAACGGAGTCTCCTTGGAGCTGAACTAGCTCCAAGATGACATGTTTCGCAACAGAATGTCCGATTCAAGCTTGCCTTCTGTGCCAGTCTTGGGTCCTGAGCCAGGCAGCTCATTGGCAGGACATGGAAGGGCAGACCAGTTACTGGTGCAGGGATTCTTCCCACTGAGCTCCTGTTAACCCTGCAAGCCACAACCATAACGGGTAGGGTGGTCCTAGCTGAATAAGAGCAGGAAAGCTTGCCAGACATCGCTACCTATGAGGTTTTAACTGGTTAGACTGCAGTACCCCAACACACACACTGGGGTCCACAAGCCTTGGCTCTTCTCAACCTGTGCCTAATACTTTCTGGAATTAGGTAAGCAGGATGTGACCTCTAGGGTGAGAGTGGAAGTTCTCTGGAAGTTCCATGTGTAGGTGGGATGCATGGAAATCTGTTTGGATTGGATACTCTTAAGCATGGTGATAAGTTTCCGCATGTGTCAGATACTCGGATGACCAAAGAAAAACATTGTAAATTTAAGGACCACCAGAGAATACAATGATCTTTCTTGCAAAAGTCCTATCATCAGGCTCCTAATCTGTCTATAAAAGGAGACAACAAAAATTTTAAGGTTCGTAAATTTAACAACCTTCCTACATTGAACCCTATAGGCTTCTGAAGTGACTCACTAGAGGAGTATTCAATGATACGATCAGGGAACTAACCTAACAACACTCCAAGGAATGGTTGATGACAGATCAGCTATCCCAGCATATCAACAGGATATAAAGGCATAGATTAGTCACTAAGGGCAAGGGTACTCGTCACTCAACTCTTACAAGGCAAGATACGGTGGTCCTTGCTCAACAAATAGCAGCTTGCCAGACATTGCTAGCAATGGCAAGCTAAGCACTTTCCGTTGGATGAGATCCATTGGTACCTCAACACATACTGAGTTTCCCAAGCCTGGCTTTCATCTACCTGTGCCTAACAAGCGATCTAATAGAGGGTTTTAGGAGGAAAATCTTTATACAGGGAGTAGTGAGGATGTGGAACTCACTCCCATTGTGGTTGAAGCAAATAACCGTAATGTATTTGAGAGAAAACTTGATGCATACATGAGAAATAATTAGATTGAAAGGTATAGATGGGGGGAAAGGAAGGGTGGAGGTTCATGTGGAGCATAAACATTGGCATAGATTAGATGGGTGAATGTTTCTGTGCCATGAAAGACTTTTTGAAATTAAGTAAGCAAGTGTGCATTCCATTCCAAATACAGGGATATTTCCATGTGTAAGTGACCTACATATGTGGGATTCTCAGCCTGGTTTGGGTATTCCTAAGCATGGCGATGAGTTTCTGCATGTGTCAGACATTTGGCTGATCGAAAAAAAACCACCCAGTGTCCTTTTTTTCTGATTTAATTCAGGGGTCTAAAATGTTGGATTTCTTAAATTGATTCCTTAATAGGGAATCTAACTTACAAAAATGGAAACTCCTTCCAGTAACTAGAGGTATGTCACACTGACTCCCTTCATTTTTTTTACCATTTTGTACCCATTCTATTCTTAATCTCTTCTACTTTTTCTAAACTTTTTCTGCTTTTCAGTTTAGTTTCCTACCTTCAATGCACCTTTCTTCCAGCTCTCATGGTCCACTTTGGAAAGGGGGTAGGCCATGAGTTTTGTAGTTATTTGATTTTTTTACAGCCAGTTATAAGTTAAAAACGTGAAGCTTGATGGAGGTCATATCATCGGAGAGGCTGCTGACAATCTTAAACCTGCAGAAAGTTGGGCATTGGAGGTAGCGTGGCACGTGAATATGCATTGATTGTGCCCAGTTGGGAATGTCCTGACAAAAGTATACAGTGGCAAGGGTTAAGATTTAGGATAAATGTAAACTGATTCATAAATAAGCAAACCCATTTGCAAGACTCAGCTAGGCAAACTTTGCCAAAGAATGAAATGCAATATTGTAGCAAAGTTTTTTATGGGAGAAAACAGGAAGTTTTGTTCAAATGGCATTCATTATGAGAGGGTTTCAATGTGTTGCCTTTCTCCTTCAGTATTTTCTGTACAGCTGTATCCTTGGATTGATGTCCTGTTCTGTGTTCCTCCGCATAAACTATGAGCTAAAGATGGTAATGATGCTGGTTGCAGTAGTGGTTTATAATGTCATCCTTCTGCAAACCCATACATCGCTCTTTGATGATTATAGCAAGATGCTTTACAGAACTGTACAAATAAAAAGGTAAAGTCACCCTGCTCGGATCACATAGCCTAGAGTGTTGAGTTGTTTTCTGTTTATCATCACGTCCTTAATGATATAAATCCATTCCTATCTTTAAAGACACTGATGTATTGACTTTTCTCATGAATTGTTCTAAATAATGTGAATCATGGCAATATTCTCGAATAAAACTGTAGCAGGCATGAGAGTGTTGATATAGAAACCATCAAAACCAGACATAGTTGGTGAGCAAGCAGGTTGACGTTAATAGGCTCAACACCAACAGCAGGTTAACCATGTAGATGGCACCCAAGGCAAGGGGTGACTCCCTACCTGCTCATCTCCGGAATCAACCTTCCTGCAGACTGGACCTCTAAAGCCCTCCACACTCCCCCAGGGAGTATCTACAGGCTTCCCTTTTCCAAGGGAGCATGGATTATCCCTTTTGAAAGTTATTTTGACCGACTAAGACTGACTGACTGACTTCCAATCTTCTCATGATTCTCCTAAAGCCAGCTCTAACACCTCCTCCACCTCCCACCCCCTCAATCCCCATAGACATTTGCAACGTTTCGCCAGCCTCTCTGTCCAGCCCCGAGCACCCAATAGGATGCCGATCTTTGTGGCCTCTCCTCTAATTGGACCTTTCCCATGAATAAACCTGTACCCATTACAATACAGTATATGGCACCACAGAATAGTAGCACCTTGATACAGCGATTCAGAGCTTCAGTACTGCATAACATAGGAATACCCTTGATAACACCGAAGAGGCATTTGGGTAAAATATTTTCAAGGTGGCTAATTTTAATGACAATTTAATTTTGTTTCGAACTAACTTGTTTCTAAAATATAATAAAACATGCAAATATAGAAATATATACATATGTATGAGTACAGTTATTACATTGATTCTTCTTTGCTGACATGTAATAGCCTATTTGAATTTCTAATGCCAGCATAGTAATATCAGTATAGTATTGTAATATTGCTTCAATGGACTAAGCAGTACATCTTCTCCCAATGCTAGGCCTGGCGTGCTGAAGGACCTGAAGACAATGGGCTCCATCTCTCTTTTTATCTTCTTCGCAACTCTCCTTGTTTTAGCTAGACAGGTGAGGACAGAATTCAATGAATTTTTGGCTTTAGAAAAAAAAAAGCTACCTGGACACGAAAGGGGATGAACAACACAAATGTGTAATGCTGGAATAATTTTGGAATCAAATTGAAGCCTCAGAAATAACAGAGCAACTAATGTTTTACAATCTACAATTTACACTCAAATGTCACACAAGGGGATAGGATACATTAGATCCCCAAAATGGATTTGGCAAAACAATTTTCCAAAATATGTTTATCAAGAAATTATTATTCATAATAATAATAAACCTTACATTTGATATACAACAACAACATCTTGGATTTATATAGTGCCCTCCACGCCGGACGGCATCTCAGAGCGCTTCACAGTAACGGATCCCGGGGCCAAGCCAGGGGGAGGGGGAGGAAGGTGACCAAAGACGTAGACGAAAAGAAAGGTCTTCAGCAGAGACCTGAAAATGGGAAGGGAGTGAGGAAGGCAGTTCCAGAGCCTCGGGGCATAGTGGCTGAAGGGACGGCCACCGAGGGTGGAGCGGAGGACTCGGGGGACCAGGAGGCCAGACCTGGAGGAAAGAAGGCAACGGGCACTGTTTTGAGGAGAGAGGTCAGAGAGGTAGAGGGGGTGCAGAGGAGTGAAGGGAATTGCAGACGAGGGTGAGGATCTTGAAGTCGATCCTCTCTGAGACAGGCAGCCAGTGCAGTCTGGCAAGGACTGGGGTGATCGGGGAGCAGAGTTTTGTGTGGGTGAGAATATGGGTAGTAGAGTTTAGTGCCTTTCGCTTCAGGAGGATGTCCCAAAGTGCTTCAAATGATATGCTTTAAAATGGAATAACTGCATACTTTGTGGGTGAATGTGGCAGTCAATTTGTGCTCAGCAATGTTCCACAAACAGCCATGCAGTGAATGACCAGATTTTATTATTTTAACAGCTGATTTTGATTTTTAAAAAGCTGTTTTATGTTTGTTTATAAATATCTCTATTCAAAAATGTAATACCATGCACGCAAATATATAAAGTATTCCATCCTACATGTAATTGATAGATAGTAATTGAGGTAATTTTAAAACAAGGCTCTTTTATTCTTCTCCCTCATTGCTTTATCCTCCCGATGCATGGCTGCCTCTTCCGCAGCCGCTCTCAGATTTAATTCACAGTTAAGCAAAACGTGTCATTTTATAATAATCCTTTCATTTGTACTAGCGCCTTACCAGGTCGTTAAGACATCTCAAGCACTATTATGGAAAAATTATGGAAAAACAGTGCAAGTCCTATCAATTAGATTTGCCCCCCTCCCCTCCACCCCACACATAGTAAATCGTTCACTGAATAGAAATCCTTTTACTCCAATCCTAATGAAGCAGTTACTATACCTGATCTGAGAGTGTTTGGTGTTAGTACTGAATGTCAATGGTGGAGTACCCATTCTCCAGGAATGATATTTCACACCTTGACAAACCCTAAAATTGGCAAAAAAAGAACACATTTCTGAAACATTGTTTTTCTAATGATTTCATAATCTGTCAAGCCTGCATTTGTGCAATTTAACAGTAATAATAATAATCATTGCATTTGATGTAATAATAATAATCCTTGCATTTGATATAGCGCTTTTCACGTCGGGAGGACGTCCCAAAGCGCTTCACAGAACACACTGTAGCATGTAGCGCCTTATCACGTCTCCGAGACGTCTCAAAGTGCTTCACAGAATATCCTGTAAAGTGAATTGACTGTATATTTTGTGGGCGAAACGCGGCAGCCAATTGCACACAGCAGTGTCACACAAACAGTCGTGGATTAAAGTGACCAATTTTTATTATTATTGCTCTAGCCACTGAGCTACAGGACTCCACAGTATGCCTCAAAGCTGTTTTTTTCAAATGTCACTATGTCTAACCAGAAGAAATAGCCAAATGTATGTGCATTGATTTCCTTGATTTTCTGTTAATGAGGTGAACACTGTAACCTGTGATATGTTAATTAACACTGGCGATGTTTATCATTGGTGACGGAAGATCACTTGCAAAGCAGGTCTTAAGTTATCGACTCGTCTTGATAGGTTGGCTTGGCTCAGTTGCTTAGAAGATTTTGAGTTCAAGCTCCACATTGAGTGCTGAGCTCAGCCTAGGCTGGCAGTTCAATACAGTACAAAAGAATCCTGCATTGTTGGAGTTGCAACTTCTCAGATTAGACATTAATCAATCTTTCACCTTGTGGCTGTTTGTTGGACTTTACTGGGCACAAAATGGCTGCTGCATTTGATTAAGAAAAGCAGTAACTACAATTGACCATAATTACTCTAAAGCACATTGAGGTGTTTCTACACATAATGTACCATAAAAATATAAGTTTGTTCTTTCAGTAACTGCATTTAATGATAACATGATAATTAATGCAGGTTATAATTATAACATGTGTTAATTATCACATCAAGGGTCACAATTTGCACCACATTATCCCAATTAGACAGTGAAATATGACAACAGACTAAAACTGTGGTTTCTGAGGTGCTTGAAATTTGAAGTGTAATCCTGGATAATCACCGCCAATTTAAGTACCTAGAATTGAAGGATCATTTAAGTATTGACATAAAGCTTGCTGTCTGTATAATCTGCAGTTTCGCTTTGCAAAATTACCATGAAATTACACTGTATTTGCACAGAGGTACCTTTAGTAAAATATGTCCTCTTTAAAATCATCTCATTCAGAACATTTAAAGCTCAGTGATTGCTCAAATTCTTCATGTTTAAATCCGGGAAATCCAATTAAAAAGTTTTAAATTCTTAAAAGTCTTACATGCAACTATGTCATAGAAACAGACCATTCAGCACAACCAGCTTGTGCCCATGTTTATACTCCAAACGACCCTCCATCCTTCCTATACCCCAATTCTCTTTTACCATGTGTATGCAAAAAATGTTACTCAAAATTTGGCTTGAATTCAGTGTTATGTTCAGTTTTAATGTGGTATCTACTAGGGAGGGTTTATTTTTTGCAATCAAAGCTTTTATATTAGAAGGCTTTGGCATGTATTAAAATGTATATCCTCTGCCTTAGAAACCAGTTCTTTTGGTCTGGTCTTTTGATCTTTGATCGTCTCTATAATTCGGTCAGTTGATAAGTTGTCTATTGTTTCTTTACTTCTGTGTCCTCTTGTAACAGAATGAATATTACTGTAGGTTAGACTTCCTATGGAAGAACAAATTCAAAAGAGAATGTGAAGAGATAGAAACCATGGAAAACCTTAACAGGGTGCTGTTGGAAAATGTGCTTCCTGCTCATGTGGCCGAACATTTCTTGGCTCAAAATTGGAAAAACGAGGTGAGTGAGGTTGTTCAGACTCAAAAAATAAATGGTTGCTGATATGACCCTTAGAAATAGTGGCAGCTGATGCCTCAGTGAGTAAATTTCCTGTGTGGCACAGTGTTGCACTATACAGACCAGAAAAGTGAATGGTGGCTTTCTGGGCAGTGCTAAGATAACTTGGCTCAGCTTGGGCAAGCACTAAAATTGCTTTCACTGTTGTGGGCTAAAGTTCCTGGTTCTCATCACCATCTGGTGAATCCTGCTGAGAAGTTTTGAATGTTTTAAGAGCACACAATTGGGCTCTAGTGTGATATTTTGCCCAAATTCACACTGGGGTCAATTCATCAGTTTCTTCAATATTTAGCATTTTGAATGCACCAATTGAGGTGGGACAAGGGAACCACCAACACCATTCTCAATGGCAAAGTCGGTGAAGCTGGACTAGAAATATTGGGCTTCTGGCTCGTGCAGCGGTTACTGGTTAACAGCTTCTTAATAAAAAATACTCTCATAATAATAATCTAACTGGTGGTCCAAGCCACAAGATCCAAGTTTAATACAGAAGGCTGACTCCCGAGACTTCACTACTGAGAACTGGGATGAGTGGGGTCTGTGACACATACATTCAGCTCCATTTGATGTGATGAATATTGAATGTACTACTAATTGGACAGCCTATTCTCTCCAAGAAGTGTACGCTGCAGTTATTTCTCATTTTAACAGAAAGCTCCAAGCAGATTTCTGACTGGTTATTGTGCAGCAGCAATTTTGATGGAAAGTGTGAATTTCACAGACATTTCATTTGCTAATTTATATTCTGTTCCCATCAGTTTACTATCGGTAATTCACTTGTTTTGAAAATCTGTATTGCTTTCCACTGATGAAAAAACACACAGAATGTGTAATTGGATTTTAGACTCACCACATTCATCAGCTTGTCTTTATAAAGAAAGTTCTGTTTTTATCTGAAGTAAAAAAACACCCTTAGTAAACCTTTTTTAAAAAATTAGTATAAAAATTTTAAACTAAATGAAAACCCTTAACTGTCCAGTTCCTTGGGATGTCCTTCCAACATAAAAGGCGCTAAATAAATGTAATTTGTTGTTGTAGTGATACGATCTTGAATTGAAAGCTCTATATGTACAGCTTTTTGCAGCCAGAGACCACTGTTCTTTGAGAAATGTCTTGTCAGCACCAATACAGTAGATGGTGCTGAAAACTCGGGAATGCTTCACAATACCAGAGGAAAATTCTGTGAATGATTGCATCAGGTGTCTCATTCTAAGATTCATAGATAGACATAGATAATATAATTAAATTGAAAGTGTTTGTATGCATACAGACCTAAATAGTCACCAAATGAGACTTAATACCAATTGTCTGTATTTCATACTATTTTAGATTCCAGAGCCAACTTTATTATAACCCAGTCTCTTTGCTTCAGTTTAGATATGTGATACATAGAACCAAGAAACAAAAAACTGTATATATTGAGTTTTTAATGGACATTCATTGTATATTTGGGAGTATTAAATAAGTTATGTTAACCAAGTGGAAACTCACATATACAGAATGAATGACAGAATACCTAAATTATGTAATAATGACCAATAGAAATTATTGGTTGTTAACTATATAATTAAGGAATTAACCTGTATTTCCTTCTGTTCATGTGAGTTTACACATGGTTTGCACATGATGCTTTAATAACCATCCTTTATTCAGCATACATAATAGACTCCCTTGTGCAGGGAGGTTAATCACTCTGCTAATCTTTAGAAATATTTATCACTTTCACTTGTTTAATTTATTTAATCTACAAAATACACAATTTACTCCATTTTACAGTAAATCCTATGAAGCACTTTGAGCTGTCCTCCTGACTTGAAAGGTGCTAAATGAAGTGCACAAATTATTATTATTATTTATTCAATCAGTTTTGCCCAAGGCTTGTTTAACCTCATTGAGTACCAAAGTCCAGTTCTAGATTTGTAGCTGATATTGTGTCAGTGTCGCCAATGAGCAGTTAATCTTGTGTGTCATGGGGTAAGATGTAGAAGTGAACGCAAACATGGCAGCCGATTTGCAGGTGGCAATGACCTACAAACATCCATGAAGTAAATGATCAATTTTATCAGAAGTGTTGGCCAGGATACTGAGAGATTCTCCCTTCTATTTTTGAATTGCGCCATGTTACCAAAATAGACTAATGAAACAACTTTACACCAAAAATATTAATGTGTCTTTCTCATCAATCAGATTCTGATTAATCTGCTGAACATTTCCAGCATTTTCTACAGTATTTTATTTCTTCTGAGAAAGGAAGGAGCATCTTACCATGTCAAAACATCTCAAAGCACAATGAGTTGCTTTGATCTGTAGTGACTGTTACGTGTGCATATCACCAGCACATAACCATACAAAGCAATGATGTGAATAACTAATTCATCTGGGAGGATTCTCCAATCATCTGTTAATTTACCAACATTGGTGGGAGTCTGCTGATTGATAAATTTACCATTGATTAGATAATCTGCTCAATTTTTATGCTTATGGTGAGCTTTTAATGTATTTTCATGGTCCTCGTGCTTTCAGAAATTGATATGTATCTGTTTGTTGGCAAAAAAGTAAAGACTGGACAAAGTGAAGCTTACAGTAGAATATCACCAAACCTGTGTATTCCTGATGTGGTGTCTCATCTCTGCCTTACAGGACCTGTACCATCAGTCATACGAGTGTGTCTGTGTCATGTTTGCATCCATCCCAGACTTCAAAGAGTTTTATACGGAGTCAGATGTGAATAAAGAAGGCTTGGAGTGCCTACGTTTGCTGAATGAAATTATTGCTGACTTTGATGATGTGAGTCCCTTCTACACTCCGCAGTTCTTTACACATAGCATTTTTACAGCAGAGTTGGGGATAATGACAAATTTAGAGACAAGGCTGTAAGAAAAAAGAAGTTGTATTTTAATTGAACCTCATAGAATCATAGAATTATACAGCACAAAAGGAGGCCATTCGGCCCATCGTGTCTTGCCAGCTCTTTGAAAAGAGTTATCCAAATCAATCCCACTCCCCCATAGCCCTGCAAAAGTCCTCCCCAAATAAATATCTATCATTGTCAAAATGAGGTGATGTGATAGAAGTCCTCACTATTACCAAGGATAATTAGTAACAGATTATTACCACAGTTTGACAAGTTAGTAACTGAAGGGCCTAAATTTAAGATCATTTCAAAGAGAATTAAAGGGGAGTTTAGAAATAGAAGTAAGGTGTTTGGAAGGGAGTTTTCTGGCACAACTATTGTTGAAGCAGAGTGCATGAATTCTTTTAAAAGGGTGCTATACAGATGCATAAAAATTAGGAATATTAAAGAAGAGTATGGGAAGTGTGGAGCAAGAGTGGGCTTAGACTAGGTGTCTCATGTGAAGAAAACATCTAGCACAGGTCCTAATAGCTGTTTTCAATTCTGTATAATTTAAATGATGCTATCATTTCTGGAATTAAGAAATTTTGACCCGATTTTTGTGGAGTGTCTGGCCACGATAGGGCACAATCAAGATACATGAAGGTATGAGCTTGTTATATAAGATACTACAAGGGACATTGTTCTGCCGAACATTCCTTCTGAAGCTCTAAATATACATTATCCCCCTCCCTGCAATCTCACTGTGTTGAAATAAACTAATTACTCTGTTTTCTATTGTAACCCAGTTTTTCCCAGGCCTCCTGCTGTGGAACCCCTTACCCACCCCACCCCAATATTGCCCTTACTCCTAGACTTTTAAAATCTAAGCTTGTGTCACCCAAACACTTTTTTGGGCTTATCTAATTTTCTGTGCCACTCTTTCAGTTCTTGATGGTGTATTGTAACAATGGTCAAATTCTCAAACTGATATTGCATTTGCCAATCTTTTCATTTTCATTCTGTGTTAAAAGTGTGTTAAACTTTTGGATATCCATGGTGTCAATACATTGATATTTGCCCAGTATTTTGTGTGCTTCGCACAAAATTCTTGAACAAAGTTCTTCTGTATTTCCTTCAAAACAGTATTATTGCCTATGTTATGTCTTACAGTTGCTGTCCAAGCCCAAATTCAGTGGAGTAGAAAAAATCAAAACCATTGGAAGCACCTACATGGCAGCCACTGGGTTAAGTGCTGCCACAGTTCAAGAGTACAGCCAAGTAGGTCACATTCTCTTATCTTCAAATAAATAATTCTTTGTACCTATTTTTTCTAGAGAAGGTTTGAATAGCCACCGCTGTTAAATATCAGACCTTCATTAAAACACATCCAGTGCGGAAAGCTATTGGGATGGTTTATGGCCTTAATGGGCCTAAAATTGGGAAATTGAATTTCTTTATAGTAATGATACTCACTAATGGTTCCCAAGGGCCACATTTCCAACCGATGACTTGCTCGTGGGCCACTCTCAAGAATGTTGCAACTTGCTGCACCACATAGTAATGGATGTAGGTCTGGACTGCTGATCTGCTACACAGTGAGCTGCTGAATTCAATGAATCCGTTGAGGGTCATTGCCAGGTGGAGGCTGAATAGGCTGGGAAGAAGCACAGGAAGAGAAAAGTACACTAGGAACAATAACTTTTCTAATAGCCCTGAATCAATAGTTATTTTGTTTTCTTTATGAAAAAGATTGCCCATTTTGCTAGGATTCCTTTGTCTTCGTTTGCTGGTGACCAAAAAACAGAGAGGTAAATGTACTGAATCCCAGCTAAGACAACATCCGCAAAGCCAGGCAGACTGTGAGTCGAAGCCTGGGACTTATGAGCAATAATTCTGCTGAGGGCCACAGTTGAAGTTGTGAACAGCTACAAAAACCCCCAAGACATTGACAGATTAATGGAACAAGCACTGGAAATTCACTGTCATTGTTCCTAACTAGGCAGTGATATTATTAGTGAGGTCAGTATTTGTGGTTTAAAAAATGACATGGGGACTGCAGAACTGGCAAGGCCTGTATTAAAGGTCAAAGAGATTGATCTTAACAATCTCTTGTCATTAGAATTGCCATTCTGAGCAGCCTTAGCTCATATTTAAAAATCCTTCTAGGTAATATAGTGGTCTATACAGATACAAATTAAAACAAGGTATCTATCACTTTTGACAAGGTGCAGGATCAAGCAAGGAAGTTAATGTCGCATCTGATGAACTAAGGAAACAAGGAAAGGTTAAGGAAGTTAGATAGACAGAGAATAAACAATCTAATGTGGTTTACAAATTATGAAATGAGCTGATGAACTAGAGAAATTGTTGAATCTGACAAATGAACAACAAACTGGGAACCAGCTTTTAATCACATTGACAAGGTTGTGCACTAACACTTTGACAAGTTAACTTCCACATCATCTAAAACAGTGTCAGGCTTTTGTTGTCTATCACATGTGCAGTTTCTACAAATTGCCTTGTGCATCTCTTGCCGGGAAACCTCACATACATGACACTATCCCGCGAGAACTGAGATCACCTCAGGGCCAGAGTCTTATGTGATGTACATGGGCCTTCCTACAGAAAATGATCTTTATGTCCAGAGGCAGTATGTAGGCTGTAATTCTGCTATTGAAATGTTTTTTCCAACCTCCATTAATTTAAAACAGTATTTACTAAATGTTTTCATAGTCCTCAAAACAGTTAACTTTACTTTACGCCTGGTAATTGTAACTCCTGCTGTACAGTATAGCAACTTCAGCAGAAACGGCTTTTAGTTTAAATTTACAACACAAATTTCCTCTATTAACCAAGCAAGTGCAGAATGTAGTGCTTTGTGCTGCTCATGAAACCGTATTACCATAGTAATGCAACAATGTCCCTGACCCATTTTACGAAACAAGTGGTGTCTAAATTTCAGTGTAAAAGAGCTGTGGATCTGTAGGGAAGCATTAATCTGACAATTACAGGAGGAATTTGAATTGCAAATTTGAATTGTACCATTGAAACATGAATGACCTGAGTTGATGTCAATTACCCATTAAAGTTAACTATTATATTGTCCTGGAATGCAAATATGTGAAGAGTTGTTTCTCCTGCTTGCTCAGTCTGCCCAAGAATAATTGTAATATTGCAATCTACCATAACCTGCCCTACAGCGACCTCTTCATTGCTAAACAGAGCATGACATTCTACTATTCAAGACAGTTCAGCACTGTGAATACAGATGATTTCCACTAAGGCTGCTTTTTGTATATAATGGCACACAGCAATCATTTTTTCCTGCAAGCTGCATCAACAAAGAGCACTGGCTGCAATTAACGGTGACCATGTTATTAACAGGATACTTAACAGAGGAATTGCGCAACCCAACAGGTTATATCCAATAACTTGCAGTTATGTTTTCTGCCTCACAAGCACTGAATGATTTTACTGGTGGTCATTAATCTGTTCGTAAAAGTGCATGGTTTGATTTTCATTTATGTTTATTACTCTTTCCTTTCTGTGGGTCTCCTCATGCCAGTTATCACTTCACCATTTTGTATGCACACAACAACCTGAACCCAGGCCTCTCTGTCAGCAGCTAATATCTGTCTTGCCGTCTGATTTATTTCACTCCCCCCCCACCTCTGCCCCCCTCAAGGTGAGCAGAACTGGCCTCTGCTACTGATGGAATTAGTACTCTCTGGAATTCCTCAACACAAAACGTTGTAGAAATCTCCCAAGTGCAGAATTAGTTTAGCATTCAACTATTTAAATATAACAGGATAGTTATTGATAGCATCCTTATGACTTGAACCAACCTATATTTAATAATAAAATAATAATAATCCTTGCCTTTGATACAACAACGACAGCAACAAGATTACAAGTATAGCGCCTTTCACGTCGGGATATATCATCTTTTACATCGGGAGATTGTCTCAAAGCACTTCATAAAATTCACTGCAAAGTGTAGTGACTGTGTATTTCTGCAGACAGACGGCTTTGTATTTTAGTAATAATAATAATCATTGTGTTTGATATAGCACCTTATCACATTGTTGAGTGCTCTAACCAATATGCTACAGGACTCCACACATTTTAGATGTCCTGGCTCAGTGTTCTGTTTATATCATTGTTGATTCACATTTTTTGAATGCATCAGAGGTAGATTCCCTCCCCTTCCCATTTCAAGTCAATGCTTTATCTTTAGCCTGTCAGCAGGTTCTGGGAAACATAAGTTCGTGTGCTGGCCATCTTTATATAAAGTTTCAGCTTCTGCATTGTAATGCTGAGATAAATAATCATATTACAATAATGAAGCTGCCTAGATTGTGAGCAGCTATTATATTACCATAATAATAACTTGACAAATAGAACCTTATCTAGCTTTCTCTACATTTTATTTTATTTTTAATTCTGTGTTTGCCTTCCTTCCTGAATCTCTTGGGTCCCACTGTCCATATTGGAGTTAGGAGTTGCATTGAAAATGTCATCCACAAAAAAATGGGCTTCGATTATCTCAAAACCATCCCCAGAGACCAATTTTGAAGCATACTGAGATACAGAGTTGTAAAGACTGACAAGGTCATGTCACCGATACACTCAGTTCAATCTTTAACATAATTTTATGTCATAGCAAGAAGTGCTCTCGGGGGCGATTTATCTCAGTAGTTACCCTGGGATCTCAATTACATCCAGATGATATAACTCATCCAGGAGAAGGAGAGTTTAATACTCCACATTGGCTCACCGAACAGGGATGAAGCTCTGTGGATTTATTTGTTTCTCTGTTTGTCATTTTTCTGACTTTGTTTGTAAAGAGTCTCCATTAAATGGCGCAAGGATATTGTTTCTTAAATTCGCAGAGGTGAATCTTATAAAGAGGAATCTGGAAAATCTGCAAAATCATGGAAGATTTGGTCGATAGATGCAAATCCCAGCACAAAGCAAAACCCCAAAACAAAAAATCCTAAGTTATACCAATGAGAAGTATACCAATATACTGTAAATTGGTTTGCTAAATTATACCAACGAGAAGGACCAGAATGAGAAGCTAATATTTCTCTCCACAAGTATATAGATAATTCAATGAGATCACCTTCTTTACATTTTAACCCAAGACTGCTTGAGGTTCTGCAGAAATCCCTGACCCCCTGGGACAAGCAATTCTGTATCTGCTTAAGTTATGCACTGATAACAACAGTAATATTACACCAAAGCTTTGTGACTATGTTGTTAACCTAAAATAACTAAACCAAATATTGAAAACGCAATGTCAAATTAAAAAATTAAGCACTTTTATATTTTTTTTCTTATTTTCTTGTCTTCAATGATCTAACTTTATTTTCTAGAACTAATCTATACCCCCTTACCTTCTCTAACTCATTCTTATGAAACTGAAGTTTGAGCCTCCTAATTTCTTTTTTCTTCTCTTTTTCAGCTCCCAGTGCATATTCTAGAGGTAGGAGTATGTTTTTCTTTACACACACTGTCTGGAATACTAGCTTTAGAGATAATTCCCCAAACTATTCAAAAGTCCAGACCATTGTCTCATCCAGGACAGCCTCATGAAAATGCAGACAAGCCAATCAATCAAGCAGCAGCTAATGTGCTTCCTGTAGGAATCCTCCAAGAACTTGACAGCGCCTGTCTTCATCACTTAAACATTACTTCACCGCACAAATCAAAAGGGATTCTAGAAGTTTTAATATTGTGGAATCTTTCCAACAGCTACTTTTATTTCTGAAAGTCAAGCTTTGTTCATGCAGTATAATCTCCGTACTTAAGGAATCCCATTAGAATTCCCCTCAACCCAAGGGAACTCTTTGTATTTGATCTTGTGTCTTATTGTCTCACAGAATATACTGTAAAGTGAATTGACTCATTAAGAATATAAATACTATCTTTCCAATAAAATGCTAACTAGCACTTGTACAGCACTGAAAACCTTGGGACGTCCTCCCGACATGAAAGGCGCTCTATAAATGTAATTTTGTTGTTGTTTTTGTTTATATTATTTAAGTCCCACATTGGGACTTTGAATTCATATAGTCTAGGCTGACACTCCAATGCAGTGTCGAGTTTGTGCTGCAATTTTGGAGATGCCATCCTTTGAATAAGACATTAAATTAAGGACCATCTGTTCTTGAGGTGGACATTAAAGATCCCATAGCAGTATTCAAAAAAAGGATGGGTTTTCTCCAGGATCCTGATCATTCACTTCATGGTTGTTTGTGGGACATTGCTGTGCACAAATTGGCTGCTGTATTCACCCACGAAACACACAGTCACTGCAATTCTATACCCTGTAAAATATTTTGAGACATCCTCCCAATCTGAAAAGGTGTTGAATCAAATGTAAGGATTATTGATATTAAACGATCCTTAACTCTGCGTTTCTGAATAATCTGATCCAATGTCATTTGACGGATCTTTTAATGTGTCATTTCATGCAGCAGATTATATTTCTGATTGAACACTTGTTCTTTGATCGGCCAGATCATTAATCCATATATCTCAATAAAATATTTATTTGGCATCTTTGAGCATGATTTATAGTTTCTTCCTCTGAGCCCCCCCACCCCCATTCAAACACACATACAGATACACACTAAAACTCTTCCTAGCAATGGCTTTGTGTGTCATAGTTTTGGTCTGTGGATCATGGTTTGCATCACTAGCATACAATCTGATCTATTTCAATGCTTCTCTTGACTTGCAGGAGCCTGATAGACAGTACACGCACATTGGAACCATGTTGGAATTTGGCTTCGCACTCATGGCAAAACTCGATGTTATCAACAGACATTCTTTTAATGACTTCAAACTGCGTATCGGTATGTGCGATCACTCAATTACTTTCTTGGGAATTTTTGGTTAAAGTACTCTTTTGGGGTGATACTCTGTGTATAGTTACCACACGTAGGCAATGTATGGGGAGTATTACTATGAAGGAGGAAAAACCATGTGGAAGTTAATTTGAATGTTACATTAGTCTTTCTTCAGACTATGTCAAATTCAATAATTCGTTAGTCATATTGGGATCTACTTTGCAGGGTGAATTGAGAGTTCTTTTAAAAAATATTGCTGACGAATCACCTGGGTGTGCAGGAGGCATTTCCTCATAAAATAGTTTCATGGCTGAGAAAACCTCCTTGACCTCTTTAAGAATGTTGCAGATAAAGTTAAAACAAATCGACTCTGCAAAATAAGTAAAAACACTGCTCTCTGCAAAATGGTACTTCAGACCTTCAGAAAGCATGAGATACAGTTACACTTGAAAGCTTTTTTAATTGCAATACAAAACACAGTAATGTTATAGTGGATAAGAAGGGGTTAAAACGTAAAAAACAAAGTGTTTGTGAAAGGCATAATGTGAAACTGGAGTCTCACAAGAGCTCAGCGTTTGATTATTTATTGTTAATAATCTACACAATTGGCCAAGATGTCAAAACAAGCAATAAAATTGATCACTGCAATCTTCAACGGTGTCCTAAATGATAACTATTTCAGAATTTTCTCTAAGCAAGAATAACAGTGAGGAAAGAAATCCTGGGCTTTCTTTGTTTTACTGTGTTCCATGCAACAATTTTATGTTTGCAAAATAAATGTAATAACATTTTCAATTATAAATATCATGAACTGAATGTAATTTTGAACTAAACTGTTCGAATTGCATTATATTCATTTATAAGAACAGTGGAGCAATTTCACCAAACATATGGAATGGAGCAAAATACAGTCGGTCTAACTCACATCGTTGAATTTTCTAAAGGAAGTGTACAGAGCAGAATAAAACCCACTGTCTTTGTTTGCACAATGATCATTCAATTTCTGTTAGGTATTAACCACGGTCCTGTCATTGCTGGAGTAATTGGAGCTCAGAAACCACAGTATGATATCTGGGGAAACGCAGTTAATGTGGCCAGCAGAATGGACAGCACAGGAGTCCTTGGCAAAATACAGGTAATCTCACCCAGATTCATTCTGCAACATTCTTCAACCTCTAAGGGCCAAATCATTGTCAAATTTGCCAACCTTGCAGAAGAGTTCTTCTTCTCCACTGACTGGTAAATTTATTGACCTTATTGGTGAATCCCACAATAAACTCATATATCATCAAGGTCATACATTGACTGATGAGCAGAGAATAAAGTGCCAAGGTTGTTAAATTACAGTTGATCATAGAATCAGCTTCATGGTCACACTATAAGTCACTTAGAACTTCTGTCACAAATAGATCTTCATTGAAGTGGTATCTTTATAACTGAATATTTAGTGGAGCAAATATTTCCAATTGCAAAATACGAAGGACTCCAGTTTTAGAAGGGGAGCTAGAGAGAGATTACAAAAAGGGTTGTAACCAGACAATTTGAAATTGTTATTTACAAGGATTTGCTGAATTGCAAAAACAAATTGTGCACTTTTCTGCTAGTAGTCTATTTACAGAACACAGCTAGCTATTGGCAGGACTACGATGGAAATATAGCAGATACCCTTGTGAGAAATCTAAAAAAAAATGTGTTTCTATTAGAAATTACCAGAGACACAAGTTCACTTTAGGTTGCAATGGCCAAAAGCATCTGGATTTCAACCCTGCAGTAAATAATGAGAGCTAAAATAATTAACTCAAAGCAACTTCTTGGGGGAGGGTTTTCTTGGAGCTGAGCTTGTTCCAAGGTAATGAGGTAATGTGCTTGGCAACAGAATGTCAGAATTGACTCAACCCTGTGTGCATTATTGATAATCCTGTTCCTGAGATAAGCAGGTCCACAGTACAGCAAACAGCTGCTGATGGCAGGACTTTGAACAAAATAATGTGCTTTGCTCCTGAAATCAGTTTTACTCCCTAAACAGACGGTGGAATTTATTTATTTATTTTAGGAAATAATATCATGGGATACAGGGTATAGTTTGAAACATGACATGTGCATGGATTGTGGAAGGCGAATTGGATGGACTTGGTCTTCTTTCGTCTAGCAATTCTTATGTTCTTAAATGTTGCATTGTTGTAATGTGGTAATTAACACAGAAATCAGTTTAGTGACTTTTGATATTTACCACAACTAAACAAAAAATTCAAAGTGAAGTTGATATCCTGCTAACCAGCGCTCGAGTCCCACAATCCACAAACTAGGCAATCCAGTGTTCAGCACAGCTGGCTTGTCATGAGCCATGACTGTCAAGAATTTGTTTTAAAATGATTTAAATGTCACACCTATATTATTATAATAATATTCCTTGCATTTGATATAACGCCTTATCACATCATCAAGCCCTTTCAAAGCTCCTCACAGGATATACTGTAAAGTGGATTGACTGTGAATTTGTGGGCGAAAGGCAGCCACCAATTTGCGCAGAGCAGTGTCCCACAAACAGGCATGAAGTCAATGACTAATTTTATTAGGGGGGAATGTTGGTCAGGACAGTGGGAGAAATTAACTTCCTTCTCTGTTTGAATGGTGCTATGAGATCTTTAATATCCATTTGCACAGGCAAATGGGACCTGTTTAACATCTCATCCAAAGTCTAGCACCTCCAAAAATCAACAGGCCCAGCACTGAATTAGAGTTTCAGCTTAGAATATATGATTCCAAGTCCTAATGTGGGGCTTGAGTCCACAACTTTCTGATTCAGAAGCGAAAGTTCTACCACTGAGTCGGGTTGACACCAGGCTGATATTGTATCAGTATACAGCACACACAAATATATGGGTACAGTAAAGACCCTAATGATTGCTGGTAAGACAACTCCCCCATTCCATATTTATTCATAAAGTATGTATAATCCATGATAGGATTTGAGTTTGAGAAACTTCATGATATATTCAGCCTGGAGACTGAAACCTCAGCAAAAAGTAGCAATGGTGCATTGTATGCACAAAAATAAACTAATGTAATAACAGCAACTTCCTTTTTGTTCTCTTTTCATATCTTTCCTAGGTCACAGAAGAAACCAGTAACGTTCTGCAAACACTGGGATACAACTGCACATGCAGGGGAATAATAAATGTCAAAGGGAAAGGCAAGCTGACAACATATTTTGTAAATACAGAAATAACTCGATCGCTTTCCCAAGGAAATCTGGCAACCTGAAAAATGGAAAGTGCAATATCAATAATGAAATGTTGAGTAACAGGATACTCCTGAAAGAGCAATTGGAAACAATTACTACATTGTATGTACATAGATTGATTCTGTTCTTAGATGCACGCAACATTGAATATGTTTGGGATATTTACACCTACTTATATCTAAACTCTTCAAAATTAAGAACACTTACACGTGTGGTGGAGAGCTTGACCTGAAAAATTTCACAAGTCGCAAAGTATAGGAACATTGCCAATATCTCAGTAATAGGGTCCAATATGCTGGGTGTTAGTGCCTGTTCCATACTTAGTGACATGAGGAATCTTTCACCCCCGTTTGCATTGAGTGAGCAAATAATAAAAAAACATTATTTACAAGGACCGGTTTTTACAAGTGTGTCTTGCATTTAAAATGCCATTGTTTTTGTAATAATTTATTCATTAAAAGTTTGTATGTACTTTACTTTTTAAAAAAATTATTTGTTGTTATTCCATGAAAAAAAATAATTCATGCACTGCAGGAAACTTGACCCCCACACCACACCATACCATTTACTTAGATAGTCACCACTGCTTCTGCCACCAGGGGTCAGCTCTGGACTGCCAGTAAAGTATCTCTCAATCGATCCCTTCATGTATAAGTGAGAGACTAAATAAATTGTTTTTGCACTCGTCAAGCACATTGCAATGACATGTAATAAGATTAGAGAAGATGTGGTGCCTCTATCATTTGATTCAGCATGAATACGTAACATTCACTCTGTTAAATTTTCTGTGCAAGTTTATTGACTCCTAACATTCTCAAAGTGTGAATGTATCTTTGCTCTGAGTAGATGTGCAAGACCCTTCTGCACCTTCAGATGAGGTGCCTCAATGATCAAAGATTGCTGCATGTCACAGCAACAATCCCATTTTACACAGGTTATATTATTCAAGGAGTACATTTGGTGACAGCATTCTTGGAGGTTTCCATAGCAACCATCAATCAGGACTACCGAAGCACAGATGGAAAATACAATGCATCTCACATCAACACAAATATTTGTCATCATAATATACTTGTACCACACAGTGGATTTTGGAGCGGCTGCCATTAAGTGTGTATCTATTCAACTCACACAAGGCTATTTGCCATTTGCTCAGTGTAGCAAATTCAGTGATGACGGCTAAGCACAAGGGTAGACCAAGTATTCATATTTTAGGATATATTAAAATAATATTGATCATTTGGTAGATGGAAGCTGCAAGTTTAACAAAATCTCACAGGAATAAATCTTTGACTATCCTTTGAAAAACTTGCCAAATACCGCTTGAATCTGCCTTCACTAGGTTATTATCTCAGTGCTACATATATGTACACCACCTCAGCAAGGTGAAAATGCCTCTTTATCCTAAAATAAAATATTCATCCATCGTTCATTCTACCTCTCAAAGAAGCATTGTTTTCTCCTGGTCTTGAAACCCAGTCCCTGGGAAATGGAATAACCGAGTCACATCAGGTTTATATTGAGCAAGTTTATATCTTTGTGAAGGAAGCTCCAATTATTGCCTGACAGAAACTAAAGGTATATGCAGTATTGTAAATTGACGAGATTCAACAGACTCACGTAATAATAAGTTTCAAGAGCAACTAAAAAATGCATGTTAAGCTAAGGTTTATTGTACTTTGTATTTTTTCTCTGTGATTTTATCCCTTCCATTCTTCTTGGCACAAAGAAGGAGGGGAAAATTAATCAATGCACAAAATGCTTCAAGGCCTGTCCAGTGCTGCTCTTACCCTGACTTGCCAGAAGGCATTTTTCTACAGGTAGGCACGTGATGACTGAATGCTACTGAAATCTTTAGAACTTTAAATTAATATCGGCTCAACATATGACTAACAAACCCATTTGTTTTTTAAAAATGAACTTTTTATGGAAAGTGAAGACATTTTCCACGTTTTAAATTCCTAAAGGATAATAATAATAATCCTTGCATTTGGTATCACATCGGAAGGATGTCTCAAAGTGCTTCACATGATTTACTATGAAATGGAGTGACTGTGCATTTGTAGGCAAACGCGGCTTATTTACCAAGTGCACTCTGAAAAAAACTATATTTCTTCACTGAACATTGCATTTAAAAATCTATTTCAGAAGCTATATGTGTTGTCCTAGTGTAACTAAAAAATTGTTTGAAATTGATTCGGTACATTGATCATTTGAAATTTACTTCAAATATGTTTACAAATGTTTTGGCTGATGTCAATCAAGCCATTGCTATATAGGGATTAAGTAAACACAAATCAAGATAAATAAGTTATTTCTAGCCATTGAAGCAAATTAGGAGATATTAAATACTGAGGGAAATGCTTCACAGGATTTTCTGTGAAATGTAGCGACTGCTGAGTATTTGTAGGAAATTGCAGCACTCAATTTGTGCAAAGCAGTGTCCCAAAGTGGGGCTAGAACCCACAACCTTCTAACTGAGAGATGAGAGTGCTATCAACTGAGCCAAGCTGACATACAGTCTGAGATTTCTGGGTGTGATTTGGAATGACATTTTATTTTAGGGGCACACAAACAGGTGTGTATTAACCATGCAATACAATGCGGTAAATTATTAATAAATACATAATACAAAATAATACAACATTTAATAGAATTATTACTCTAAATTATATGTTAAACACAATTTCTGTCACTATATTGCTCTGTTTGTCTTTCCTACTCTTCTAACAGCAGATTGAGGAGACATTAGCTGAAGATTGACTATATCATAAGGACTTCTCAAACAGCTCTCTCATCATATCATTGTGAAAGCAATAGCAATAATATTCCTTGCATTTGATATAGCACTTTTCACGTCTTCTTGATGTCTCAAAGCGCTTCATAGAATATACAGTAAAATGTAGTGACTGTATATCTGTTTGCGAAACGCGGCAGCCAATTGTGAACAGCAGTGTCCCACAAACAGTCATGGATTGAGTGACCAATTTATTATTGGTTTATTTTGAAGAATTATTATCCCCGGAAAAGCCAATGTAGCGTGCTTACATTCAGCTATTTTAAAGATGGTTCATCAACTGACTCATGAATAAAATGTGATTTATTTATTTTTAAATCCTGTATCTTCCAAAACTGAATTGTTATCACAATAGTTTAATCTATATTTGATCTTTACATTTATTTATTTTGTTACCTTATTCCCCTGAATTACCATTGTCTCTGAGGGCAGGATGAATACTTGCTATCATATCTCTCCATAGCAGCTCTATAGATAGCCATTTGGAACATGGCATGTGCTCAAATAATCCAAATTTGCTTGCCTTTTCTGTTGGGTAAGTGATGGCTTGTGCTCTGTGCTGTACCACAAGAGTGAACTGAGATAGGAACTCAAGTTCTGGGCAATGGCATCCTCTAACTCGACAACATAATCCTGGCACATCACTAAGTCACTGAGAAACATTGCTTTGATAAGTACAATAAAAAATTGGAATTCCAGCCAACGCAAATCTGCACAGACCAGTTATCTACTATAAGCCTTGATATGAAATTAATTTCACAATATTCCAAATGTGGCCTCAATAATAATCCCAAAAGAATTAGAGAAACTTCTTTCAACATGCAGTCGAAGACCCTTGAGGTACAACCTGGCATTCGAATAGCTCTTTGGACAATGTCACATTACAAGGAAGCGTGAATGTTAAAGATCCCATGGAAATATTCCAAGAGAGTTTCTCCCTGTGCCATGGCCCAAAATCCTCCAGATAAAATTGTTCACGCACTTCAAGTCTATTCTTGGAACACTGCTGTGCACAAATTGTTTCATGCTTTTTGCAAAATACTATACATGGTGCCTACACTTTACAATAAATTCCATGAAAAAGTTTCAGATGTCTAATAATAATGTTTGTATTTGATATAGCACCTTATCACGTCATCAAAACACTTCACAGGATTTTACTGTGAAGTCACTGTATATTTGTATGCAAAAGCAGGAGCCAATTTACGCACAGCAATGTTCCACAAACAGCTATGGAATGAAAATTTATCTGAGGGATTGTTGTCCAGGACATGGGGAGAAACTCCCTTCACTTTTCGAACAATGCTGTGGGATGTTGAATATTCACCTGAACAGGCACTTAAGGTTGCCTACATCAAATGTAAAGATTATTATTAACCTTCAGTGAAACAAGATCACACTCTCCAGTTCCACTCTGTGTCAAAGTCAAATGCTTCGTAGGCAACAATGATTGTGTGCTGCTGGCACCAACAAATGGAGGAGAAATAAGAACATAAGAAGCGCTGGACGAAAAAAGACCAAGGTCCATCTAGTTCGCCTTCCATCTTCTTGGCGGTCACATGTGTCCCAAACTATCTATTTAGAAAGGTTTTCTATGAAGGTCAGTGGATTTGTGGGAATGAATTAATATTGGTCATTCGTGTTGATCAATGTTGGGGTTCAGAGAGTATCTGTGCTTCATTTTGTGTAAATTGTGGATGTAAAGACCATGAACATCTACCATCTGAGCAAAATGAAGCATAGATAGTCACTGAACCCCAGTGGGTCTTGCCAGAATTTTTGCATGGTCCATAGACGAAGTGGACGTAGTGGGTGAGTGACCCTTTTTTTGTTTTCATTCTTTCTTAAGTTTCTAATGTGCTCTGTGGCTAATTACATTATCAATATCAAAATCCACACACGTGTTCATTCTTTCCATTCAAATTGCATTCATGTCATACCTTTCACGTCGGGAGGATGTCTCACCTCTGCTGAGCACTTGCACCATTCACAGGATAGGAAGGAAGGCTTCTGCGATGGAAGACGCCATCTTATGGTGGTAGTTGTCCAATCAATTTTACATTGTAAATACTTACAAGAATTTCTAGAATGGAACTAATTATATGTTAAACTAATACAGTCGAGTCCCTTATTAACATTTTGCATGGGAGGCAGCTAGGATATTGACAGCATGGTGACTTAAGAGATAGTGACAAATTAAGCCAAGGTAGAGTTATCAGGATTTTACTGTATTGTTTACAAAGAGAAATTTGTTGAACCTAATTTCTGTAATCTGTAGAGAAACTGTAGTGGGTTGGGGTGAGGGTGGGCGGGGGAGAGCACAGTTTAGCAAATCAGAAAAACCTTCAAATTAGGAACTAAACTACACTTCCGTCAATAAGTTCCTTAAAAAGAGATTAAATCTGCATTTAATGAAATTTATTTTTAGAAATTGGTCAAGAAAAGGGAGATAGGACTAGTCTGGTACAACTGTTCCATAACCTTCTTCAACGGATTTCGAAATGCCATTTTTTCGGTAAAATTCTGCATGCACATGGGCAACTCTGACAAAAGAGCGGTTTATTGGATCAATGTTGAGGTGAAGCCGTTTTCCATAATGTGATGAATTCAGGACTGGAACCGAACGAGCCATTTCCTGCAAGACAGATCGAGTATTGCTCAAAAAGTTTGCAAACATAATTAATTCAGAATGCTTGATTCTATGTCAACATTTTGAATGGGTTTTCTAACTATTATACTTTAACAATTTATTTCATTTAGTTCTTTGTTCTTGAACTCTTTTCCCCTCAAAACCTGAAACAATAAAACTGATAAAACGCTACCTTCTATACTTAGGTGCAGTCTTTCTCCTATTGGACGTACGCTAAGAAACTAAGACGTTTCTTCAAATAGTTGACCAGTATTTCAAGATAAAAAGTAACTTGCTTTTAAGATGGGAAACTTGCTGTTTCAGTGAGAGAAGGCTCAAGTAAACTTGTATGTGTACAATTTCACTTGAAAAAATCACACATAACTCAAAACCATTTGCTCCTGAAACGTCAGACTGAAGGTTTCAATCACTATCAGTGTCAGGCAAATATTATCGCTCTGCAGGAATCTTACAGGGAAGAACTCCAGGTATCCTATAACTTGAAATGCATAATATAATCTGTATTGTCCCACAATTAAAGAACAATGTGGATTTTATGAAACTCCATTTTTAAAAAAATTATGGAAAAAAAATCACTTGTTAGGTAACAAGCACCAATGAATAATCTCTGGACAAACTGCTAGATCCCTTCGCTCCAAAACATTAAGGAGCAAAACTATTTGTAGGTACCTCCTGCCCTAGGATCTGAAGGTGTGTAATTCACATCTTTAGGCCTGTTTTCTAAGTATAATTGTGTAGCTCATAAAGCTGTTCAACATTTAGGTTTTTGTTCAGAATAAAAACCTATAAAGAGGTGAGTGATTTTATGCATATGTGCAACAAATCCTGTTTGTTATAGTAGCTCATAAGCCACAAAAGGTAAATTGGCTTTGATTTAAGGTTCATTTTATATATTGTTTTGAAACATGCCACAGGAGCAAATGCATAAAATAATTTATACTCAAATAGATGTAATTATCCCATGACAGAAACCTATTTCAATGTAAAATGCACTTCATAATGATCCAGACTTCAGAAAGACATTGTAAAGTGATTATTCAGCACACTTCTAACATAGAAAAAATGAATTAGATAGCAAAGTGCGCTTTTCTTGGTGTAAGAGCAAGTAATGAGATTAATGGGAAGAAAATGTCTGAGATGTTTTGCAAAAGCTTAGGACTGCAAGATCCCCCTCCCACATGGATTACACAAACATAAAGAATGGCATTGCCAGCGTTACTTTTTATTTGATAAAAATGTTAACAGTGCCATACCTCAGCGTTTACGTTAAGACCAAGGCTTTTGGCATGCTCTCGGTCATCACGATGAATTTTATTATTGTAGCCTTGTGGGGCCCTAAAAATCCGGTCATAGGTCAACACTGATACTCCCTGAAAACAAAGAGATAATTTTATAATAGCTATAAATTCAATTTAATATAATTTACATTTTATAGCATCATTCACATCAAGACACTTAAAACTGCTTTAAGCTGGGGAAAGATGATCGAAAACGTGGTGAAAGAGGAAAGTCTCAAGGTGGGCTTTAAAAGTGGAGAGGGAGATGTGGGAAAGTATGGTTGATCGTGGATTTCAATAAAACGCTCACTTTGTTGCTAAAAAAAACAATTCACGTTTTGAAAATGGTTTCATCTGAGTTAGTGTTGATACACGGCACCACAACACTGCTTTGTAGCTCTAGCACTGATATTTTTCATTCTTCTAGCTAGGTATTTTGTTTCTGTAAGGTGGTTATATCTCAGTCAAAGAAAAACAAAGCTTCCAGATGACATTGGTGACAGCCAATACAGGTGAAGATTACATCTGATACCATGATCAGTTGGATAATTGCAGTCAACAGCCACTTAGATGGGATTGGATGCTGAGCAAGGGAGAGGGAGTGGGCCTAGATGGCCATATTCAGTGATCACATTCAGTGTTAGTGGTTAGAGCACTCGCATCGCAAGCGAGAGACCTGGGTTCGATTCCTGGCAGAGCGAGACATTGGGTGAGTTTCCTTACTCCACCTGCCTCTGTTTACTTAGCAGTAAGTAGGAACCCAGTTGTTAGTCGATTGGCGGATCACTTTTCCAGGGTAATAATTCCTTCAAAAAATATAATAATTTGGTCACTCAATCCCCGACTGTTTGGAGAACACTGCTGTGCGCTTTTGACTGCCGCGTTTCGGGTTGCAGATGTGGATGTTAGGGTGGCCAAAGGCACATTTGAAGAGGAAGGTCTTGAGATGGGACTTGAAGGAGGCAAGGGAGGGGGTGAGGCGGAGGGATTGCAGGATAGAGTTCCAGAGTGGGGGGTAGAGTTGCTGAACTCCCGACCGCCAATGGTGGGGCGGGAATTGCAGGGGACCTGAAGCAGTCCTGTGTCCGCCGAGCAGAGGGAGTGGACAAGCTGATATGGGGTTATGAGGTCAGAGAGGTAGGGGGGAGTAAGACCATGGAGGACCTTGAAGGTAAGAACAAGGTTTTTGTATTTGATTCTCTGAGGAATGGGGAGCCAGTGAAGCCGGGCAAGAATGGGGGTGATAGGTTCCCAGAGCCTGGGGTGTGAGAGGACACAAGCTGCAGAGTTCTGAATAATCCGCAACCCGTGGAGTGAAGAGTTGGGAAGTCCACTGAGCAGGCAGTTGGCGCAGTCAAGGCAGGATGTAATGAAATTTTGGGTCAGGTCTCAGCAACTGCGGTGTGAGGCAGTGGCGGAGGCAGGCAATGTTGCTGAGGTGTGGAAAGGCGGAACGGGGAACACTGAGCTGGAGGAAGTTGGCTTTCATCCAGGACTTGATGTCAGACAGACAATTAGCCAGGACATCAATGGCCGTGGAGTCGAGGATGGAAGCGGCGAAATAGTTCACTTTGAGACGTCGCAAAGACATGATAAGGCGCTAAATCAAATGCAACGATTATTATTATTCAAAGAGATAGGATTTGAGGCAGGACTTAAAGAGAGACATCCACCTCAGTCCAGGATTTGCTCATCACAAATCCTTATGCAAATCTTGCTAAATCAAACCCCATTGTGCATAAAACCATGCAAAATTTGCAAAGGAATGAGAACATGTGAAATAAAAGTATGGAAACAGTTTCACTATTGTTGACACCTGGGACACACCAAACAAAAACACAATACCAACTCCTGGAAAAGCTTAATCAACATAAGGAAACGTGCAAGAATAATGCAAATGTAAATACAAATATTTTGCAAATAATGCAAAATTGTTTCCAATAGGATTAAGCAGCTGGTACTGAGTAAGCCTGGTCAGTGATATTGGACTTGGACCTTGAAAACATCAATGTGGCTGGCACGTCACACGCTGTCCTGTAAAGCTCCTTCCACACACTGAAGGCAGATGCCCACCAGGTAGCTGATGAGGAAACTCTGAGGCTTGGGGCAACAGCTGCTGGAAGGCGCTGGAGTCTGAGTTTGTGAACACACGTTCGTACGTCCAGTGCCTGGAATCCACCTTGATTGGCCTGCAGAGAGGCAATAGCTGCTGCTTATATTCCGCACCTCCAACTGGTGGAACCATCGCTCAATGGGAAGGAATGTGTGCCCGAACTGTGGACAGAAAGACGGTGGCAATGCTCTCACACATTTCATGCTGAGGTGTATTCCCCCTGGGAAGCTCACAGGGGGTAACCATGCACCTAGTGAGGTTCAAACCTGCGCTGTTGGATGTCGAACAACCAACTAGTGGGTATCCTCCTTGAGTGGGGGGGGGTAAGTGGGGTCCCTTGGAGCTAAACACCTTGGAGCCAAGGTGACATGTCAGAATCAAGCCAGTCCTGTGTGACAGTCCTGGTAGTCTGGTTCCTGAGCCAATCGGGTACGCAGTATTACAGGGCACTGCTGATGACAGCACAGACAGCCTGGCTCATAGGCTTGGAAGGACAGACCAGTCACTTGCGCAGGGAATCCTCCCACTCAGAGCTGGACTATCCTGTTAACCCTGCAAGCTAAAGCTATAATAGATAGGATGGTCCTAGCTGGACAAGCACTGGGAAAGCTTGGCAGTCAGCAATATCAATGATAAGCTAAGCAGTTTTAGCTGGTTAGACTCCAGCAGTACCCCAACACACACTCTGGGGTCCCTAAGCCTTGGCTCTTGCCAACCTGCACCTGATATTTTCAGGAATTAGGTACATAGGAGAGAGTGCGCATTCCATTCCAACAAACTATCTCTGGAATTTCTATGTGTAGGTGGGATGTATGCGACTCTCAGTTTGGTTTGGATACTCTTAAGCATGGTGATGGGTTTCCGCATGTGTCAGACACGGCTGACCAAATAAAAATTGTTTCCAGTACAACCAGACTGTCCCTTTAAGAAAATGCAGTTAGTAGAAGTTAGTAGAAGAGAAACCGATCATACAGGAGGGAGGAATGAGGTAGAGACTTGTAGGAAGTCTACAAGTCTCTACCTCATTCCTCCCTCCAAAACTAACCATTTTGTCTCGTTCAATGCAGGTGGCCAGGCTTTCCAGGCATGTCTGTGTCCCAGATTATCTACTGAGGAAAGAGTGTTTTTAAACCACCAGTATCAACTTAACACTTAGTCTTGTCCGCTCCTGAGGCAGTTTGTAACAGACTATCTGTAGCTGCAATTGATTGTTTCAGTCCATTTTTGTGTTAACCTGCAATTGTTATTGTATTGGTTTATTGTATTCTTGATCTGGGTGCAGCCACTGGGTGCAGAGCTGATGAATGGCACTGTGAAGGGAGTTACCTTCTGGGGTGGATGAAAACAATTTTATTTTACTTGAGCTACATCTAGCCTTTGGCACCTGTCAGGATATTCAGGTCCTTAAATCTTAACTGAGGCTAAGACTGGGGAGGGAAACAAATGATGCAGTTAGAAGTTAATACAGACTGAAGGTGGGTAGTTCTCCTCAAGCCTCAAGCGAACCATTCCTTCCAAACTATTTGCAAAGTCCAATGATCCATGAAATCTAAGACTCCTGCAGGTTTCTTCGCTTCCTTTCCGAATGCCTTTCGTTGCAGCTGCAGAAGCAAAACTCTTGTTGTTTAACCGTTAAATTAGTGCCGAGTTCGATGGACTGACAAGACCTTCAGTTGCACTGAAGCAGAACAGAACCCAGACCTCCCGGGAATCCTGTTCGGAAAGAGACTCCCACTCTGGCACTCACCTTCTTCTGGTTACCGAAATAAGTCTGTTCGCTCTCGTCTCTTCTCTCGGGGATGTAACTGAAGGCAGAGAGCGAGGCCAGTGGCTGTTTGCTCTTCCTGACGATGTCTGCCATGATGTGCTAAACGTCTGGGTGGCAGCGTGAGCTCCTCCCTTGGGTGACCCGCGTCCTTTTTGTTGCTGAGTGCCCGGACGCCCCCGGGGCTGTGGCTGTGGGGCTGGGCTGGGGCTGCTGGGGCGGGGCTGGGGCGGGGCTGGGGCTGTGGGGCTGGGGCGGGGGCTCTGGGGCTGGGGGCGGGGCTGGGGCTGGGGCGGGGGCTGGGGCTGGGGCGGGGGCTGTGGGGCGGGGGCTCGGGGCGCTGGGCTGGGGCGGGGGCTGGGGCTGTGGGGCGGGGGCTGTGGGGCTGTGGGGCGGGGGCTGTGGGGCTCTGGGGCGGGGGCTGGGGCTGGGGCGGGGCTGGGCGGGGCTGGGGCTGTGGGGCGGGGCTGGGGCTGTGGGGCGGGCTGGGCTGTGGGCGGGGGCTGGGCTGTGGGGCGGGGCTGTGGGGCTGGGCTGTGGGGCGGGGGCTTGGGGCTGGGGCGGGGGCTGGGGCGGGGGCTGGGGGCTGGGGCTGGGGCTGTGGGGCGGGGGCTGGGGGCTGGGCTGGGGGGCTGTGGGGCGGGGGCTGGGCTGGGGCTGTGGGGCGGGCTGGGGGCTGTGGGGCGGGGCTGGGGGCTGGGCGGGGCTGTGGCGGGGCTGGGCTGGGGGGCTGTGGGGCGGGGCTGTGGGGCGGGGGCTGGGCTGGGGCTGGGCTGGGGGGCTGTGGGGCGGGGGCTGGGCTGGGGCTGTGGGGCGGGGGCTGTGGGGCGGGGGCTCGGGTGCTGGGCTGGGCTGGGCTGGGCTGGGGGGCTGTGGGGCGGGGGCGGGGGCTGTGGGGCTGGGCTGGGGGGCTGTGGGGCGGGGGCTGGGCTGGGCCGCTCCGCCCTCGCTTCACAGGTGAACCAGAAGTCACTGAACCGAACCAAAGCAGCTGTGGCAACGGCAGAGCTGGAGACGGCGGCCGTGCACATTGCAGGGGAGCGGTCAGGGCACCAGACACCGAGCATTGTGGCTGCGGTGCCGCCACCGCACAATCTGTGTGGGGATCAAAGCCCAAGTGGCGTAACAATGAGCGGAGCCATTTAACACTACAATGGCACTCACTCACACACACACTCACTCTCACTCACACACACACACACTCTCACTCACACACACACTCACTCACACACTCACTCACACACTCACTCACACCCACTCACTCACACACACACACACTCACTCACACACTCACTCACACACACACACACACTCACTCACACTCACACACTCACTCACACACTCACTCACACACTCACACTCTCACACACACACTCACACTCACTCACACTCACTCACTCACACTCTCACACACACACACCCACTCACTCACACTCACTCACTCACACTCACACAAAATGCTTCAATCATTTCTGGAAACATTCCAGAAACCTCTCTCAGGTTAAAAAGAAATGACCAGATAAATCAAGATGTCACTGTTGGCTGGAGATAAGTTACCCTCTCAAATGCCTGTCAGTGAAAGTTTTCAATTACCTTTTGAACATGAGGATGTTCAGTCCCCAGTAGAGGCTCGCAGTTCCCAATATCATAAATATATAAACGAACACAGAATTTTGTTGGGGCAATATTTTTCCAGAACCCAATGATGACAAGTTCTAAAATAGTCATGCAATACAAATTGAAATATATGCTGGTAGTAATCCATCCTGGATTTGATCCAATTTCGTGCAGAGTAGATTCCAGAAAAAGATTGGAATTCACTCCACTTCATCAACGGAAGTATTTTTATTGATACCTGCAAACTAGTTTATATAGGAAATTGAGGCATTCATCTGCAATTGAAACGAACAAATTAAAATACAGCACAAAGCAATTTAGCATATTGACATTACAATCAACATTGATGTATCTTTAATTCCAAAGCTTGAATGTTTGTCTAAATGTTTGGCACCATAATCTGTGTTTCTATTGTTTCTATTGTACCTCGTCAAGCAATGTGGAATAAGATTTTTGTTATTATACTGTAGCGCTTGCAAACATTGATGGTGTGCCATGACATGGTAAATTTGAGTGTGTCTGCACAGACTAGAGAATAGAAGGGTATGGAAGGAGTCAGGAGTGGGTGGAGACTCATGTGGAGTATAAACACCAGCATGGACTGTTTGGGCCAGAATGGCCTGTTTCGGTGCTGTAAATCTATGTAAATTACAGTTGCAATGAACAACAATAACAACAAATCACACTTGTATAGAGCCCGTCACATCAGAAAGATGTCCCAGGGCGCTGGACGGGCAGATGTTTTTGGAGCTGAGCTGGCAGTTGGGGTCAGGAGGGTTGCAGGGCAGGAGGGGCTGGCCGAAGGCACAGTATCGAAGAGGAAGGCATTTAAATGGGACTTGAAGGAGGCAAGAGAGGGGTCGAGGTGGACAGATTGCAGGATAGAGTTCCAGAATGTGGGGGCAGAGATGCTGAATACCCGACCACCAATCGTGGGGCGGCCTGGACAGCGGATATGGAGCAGCGGGAACCTGCTGAGTGGTCAGGTTGATAAGGGGTTAGCAGGTCAGAGAGGCAGGAGGGGCTAAGGCCATGGAGGGACTTGAAGGTGAGGGTGAGAATTTTTAACTCAATCCTCTGAGGGATGGGTAGCCAGTGGAGCCGGCGGAGGGTGGGGGTGATGGGATCACGGAGCCTAGTGCGGGAGAGGACACAAGCTCCAGAGTTCTGGATGATCTGCAAATTGTGGAGGGAAGAGTTGGGAAGGCCGACAAGAATAGTTGGCTCAAGTCGAGCTTGGTTGTAATGAAGGCATGTATGAGGTTTCGGCGGCCTGAGGGGTGGGGCAGTGGCGGAGTCAGCAATGTTGCGGGGGTGGGGAAGGCAGAGAGGGTGGGAGAGATTGCAGGAATGAGTTCCAGAGTGTGGGGGCAGAAATACTGAATACCCGACCACATGGCATGGATGTGGGGGAGAAAGGACAATTGAGGGTCGAACAAGACACCGAGGTTCCTGACTGGCTTGGTGAGGTGAAGTGTGCATCCTTGGATGTTGATGTTGCCAGAGCCTGAGGTGCGGAGGCGCTGGCGTGAGACAATCAGGAGGGCCTCAGTCTTGCTGACGTTGAACTGTAGAAAGTTGGTTCTCATCCAGGACTTGATGTCTGACAGGCAGTCAGGATATTAGTGGTCCTGGGGTCGAGGGTGGAGGCACAGACAGCAATGAAAAATACATTTAATCAATTGGTTGCTGAATCTTGTGTAATTACTCAAATGTGTTATTTTCTTTGTTGAATAATGCATTTGTGTTGTGTTTGAAACATAATTTTTCTGTTGCGTTTCAGTGATATGCTGCCTATCATGATGCTCTCAGTACATTTAATTTAGCATTCACTTAGCGCCAATATTTCCTTTATCTTTCATATATAAGACAGTTTCAAATAAACTATTGGAAAAGTATGAGATAATTACTACTAATAAAAAAACCTTGCATTTATTATAGCATTTTATTACGTCATTGAAATCTCTTAAAGCATTTCATAGGATTTACTGTAAAATGTATTGACTGCATATTTTTAGGCAAGTAGGGGGACTTAAAATGTTAGTATTAATTAGTGACAAATGTTAAGCTCTGCAAGCCTAGAAGGCGAGATAAGAAATAGGTAATGATGGATAGGTTAGGTAGAAATATTATATCTGATCACTGTTTGGCAGATATATTGAATGGGTTTTTCACTTCAATCTTCTCAAAGGAAGAACGTAGAGAGATCCATAATGCAATTATTGTGCCTTAAGAATCTATAAATAGAATTACATAGGCTGTTACAGCCAGAAAAAAGATCATTCGGAACAAATAGTCCGTGCTGGGGTTTATAATAATAATAATATTAATAATAATAATAATAATAATAATAATAATAATAATAATGATCCTTGCATTTGATATAGCACCTTATCACGTCTTCATGATGTCTCAAAGCACTTCACAGACTATACTGTAAAGTGAATTCATTGCATATTTTGTGGGCAGTACGTTTCTACTCAACAAGAGCCACCAACTATCCTGATACCCTCTCCTATACCCTGTATTCCAATCCCCATCAGGAATTAATCGTTTCCTCTTAAATATGTTGAAGCTTTCTGCTTCTACCACAGCTTTCAGCAGTGAGTTCTACATTCACACTATCGACTGCGTAAATAAGTTCATCCTAAAATCCCTTTGAGGACTGCTACTTGGCTATCTTGTATTCATGCCTCCTTGTTTTAGACTCACCCATATATACACTTTGAAATGTCCTCTTGACGTGAAAGGCACTATATCAAATGCGAAGATTATAATTATTATGGACCTGGATATCTTTAAGTTTCACATATGCTGTTGACAGAAAGGTGGTCTGGTGATGAGTAGCAAAGAGGGATCTGGAGCAATTAAGTAGATGGGTTAAGATAACAGATAGCATCTGGATTTTAATATGGCTAACTGTTGGGTAATTCACTTAGCAAAAGGAAATGATAAACTTATGTCTGCAATGGAAGGAAGCTCATTAGCAGAGCTAGGTAAGGAAAGGGATATGTACATGATCATTAATCACACCCTGAAAGTCTAGTCAATGAGAAGCTGTTTTCAGCAAAGCAAAACAAATACTGAGAAGCAACAGTAACTTGCAACGATAACTATACAGTCCCTTTTACAACAACAACAACAAAATTACATTTGTATAGTGCCTTTCACGTCAGGAGGACATTGCAAAGCACTTTTACATAGAATAGTGTCTCAAAGTGCTTTACAATCACAATGCGGATCATCAAGTAAGGTGAGAAGAGGGGTAGGTTGAAAATGTTGACCAAGAACAGGAGCCTACGCCACCAATAAGATAATGTCGATACTCTTTATTTCCATTTCCAACCCTGCCTTTTCACATTTTTGCCAGAAAAAGACTAAGGGAAAAATATTGATACGTATATTTAAAACAAAACAAAAGGAAATGATTCCTGTCCATTAAGAGTGGGCAAATTGGCAGCTCTTATATCGAGATAATGGCTTTGTGGTATGATAGACATGTGTTTGGTTGAATAGACTCCAAGTTTTATGCTTCTTTTCTATACATGACAATAATTCTTGCATT